ATCAGATGTTGGTCGCTTGATGTGGCGACCAATAAGTCGTTTGGTTTAGCGACCAGGTAGTCTCTGGAATGGTCGGTCGGACCAGTTGAGTTCTGGAACTCGTAGAAGCGTTTGGCGAGACGGTTTAAGACACGTGTCGACAGAGGAGGACCTTGTGGGTAGTTGACAGCGGTTGCTGTAACCGACCAGACGACGGTTCAAACCGTTTCTTTAAGGGGTTATTTAAGGATTCGGGTCTGTTCTGAAAAATGATATTCAATCGACATCAAATTCAAGAGAATTGCTTTTTGGGATCACCACTTTATTTTTCCAGTCTGTAGTATTTAGTTTTCCTATTTTATTTATGTATCATACGGTGTCCAGAGATTCTTAATCTCAGACATTTATTTTATCAAATTCGAAAATAATTTTTATTTTCGAATTTTACTTTTTATTGTTAAAAAATCGCATCCCAAATAATCTTATTATGAGTTTGTTTACATATATATTTTTTTACATGTTTTGACACTATAAGTTACACATTTCTTAAAGAAAATTACGAAGAGAGTTAATAAAGTAAATTAAAGAGGACTCTACTGAAAAATTTTATGAAAGAATTTATTACAGGTTACATGAAAGATTCATCGAAGAGTATTAATAATGAAGGCTTGTAGGAACAATACACGTATAAATCACACACACAATTTTCTTTGTGTTCTTCTTTTGCTTTTTCCTTTTTTTTTTTAGTTTTTTCTTTTTTACTTTTATTTTCTTGTAATTTTGTTGCTTTCATATCCTTTATATTCTATTATTTTTATTTTTTATTTTTATTTTTTTATCGTTCTTCCTTTATGCTTCTTCGATATTTTATTCCTTCAACTCCAACATTACCGTATTATTTTATTTATTTTATATGCATAATAAGGGACGGAACTACACTAAGGTTTGGGGTGCAATTGACCCCTCAAGCCCAATTTTTTATGATTTTTTTAGTGTTAAAAATATTATTTTTTATGTATTTATATGCAATTTGTCCTTCCAAAACTATTCAGGCTCATATATAATCCTATCATTATTTTGTATTTAAATTTATTAGTTAAATATTAAAGAAATTATAACATTTTGTCTTCCCGGAATTTAGATACTAGTTTTGTCACTGTGCGTAATTTTATACCCGAGATTGAGCTTGAAGGTTTTCTTCTGTTGGCCAAAGATTCAACTTTCTATCTATCTATCTATCTATCTATCTATCTATATATATATATATATATATATATATAAAAGGATTCAAATTACAAACATAAAGTGGATTAAAGTGCAAATTATTCATAACCCATTGTGATTCTTGCCCTAATTTACATAGTGGCTGTTTAGCTAAACTTCTTCTAAAGATTTTGTAAATTGTAAGCTATCTGATTTTTTTTTGACAAATGCATACATACATATATATATATATGTGTGTGTGGAAATTAATAAATTTAGCTATGTATTCTATGATCAACTATTGGAATTGCTTCATATGTTTCTCTATTATTAAGAAAATAATAATAATAAAACCCCTATTTGTATCGATAGTCCTAATTGCGTGTAAATATCTATATATATATATATATTAATTTTAAGTTTAATTTTTAAATAATAAGATATAATATAATTATTTTTAAGATAAATAATTAAAATACATTCAAGAAAAAAATAAATATGAATGAAAATCAAAATTAATTATAGATACATGACTCAATTTATAAATTTCTTGCACACATATATGACCATAAAATTAGTCATTTGGGATGGGGAAATATATACATATAGTACAATATAAACTTAGGGTATGTGCTTTTGGAGCTGTTTATTTCAATTTTGATCCTTTTTTTTTTTATAATTATTTTACTATAAAATTTCATAATATTTTTATAAAAATAGACAAAATTGTTTATATTAAATATTATACCCAACGACTATTTTACCTACAAAATCAAAACAGACAAACATAAATACAATTGCAAAACAAATTCATTTGTATTTTGGATGAAATAATAATTCAAAATGATATTTACGTATAAAAAAGTAAACACATATATACTTTTATTGAGAACTTTATATTTTACATTGTACAAAAAAAAAAAAAAAAAAAAATCTTTATTCTACCAAAAACTTATAAGTATATCTTTTTGGAAGCTCTCTTAAACTAAATCACAAAACTATGCTATGAACACAACATTCAAACAAAAGAAAACGAAAACTCCGAAAAGCTCAACGACATATATATATATATATACACTAACAAAACCGATCAACTTCAAGAAAGGCGAGCTTTGATGGCGTTTCCAAGGCAACGGATCGATCATCTATATATCTGTGGGAGGTGAAAAGCTGTATTCGGAACCAGGAATATAATGATGAAACCTCGTATTAATTGACGGTGGTGGAGGATATACACCTCCAACTCTAAGTTGTCTCTTCTTCACCAAAACATGTGAGCTTTTGTAGCGCCGTTGTTGTCTAGAAGTAGCCGTGATCGAGGACAAGGATGAGGACGAGGAGGATGAGTTTGTAATAAAAATTAACTCATCGAAAAATAATACTAATAGAAGAAGCCACACAAAATATGTTGCTTTCTTCATTAGGATTGATAAATATTTGAAATATTTTTCAAATATTATAGTTCTCTAATTTAGTTAGTTTTGTAGTTTTTCTTTTTTTGTTATTGGAATTGCTTGTATATTTATAAGAATAGCAATCTGATTGAGTCAAGGTTGAGTTTGGATGTAGATATTTAATTGGATTTGGGATATATTGGGAATAGTAAAAAGTTATTTTTTTATTTTTATTATAAAAAAGAAAATTTGATGAATACTGGAAGTCGGATCATAATCCTACATTTAAAAGACAATTCATTGAAAATTTCACAATATCTATTTTTATCAAGTCAATGGACCAATGTGTGTTTCGTGGTTTTGATTTTAAATCAAAAATATTTTTAATAAAATGATATTATTTTTTTTATAAAATATTATATGAAAATACTATTTAAATTAAAAAATTTAATTTAAATTTTTACTATCAAACCTATTTCAACTTTAAAAAAAAAAAAACAATTTACCCCGTAATAGTTTGGTGGCATAAATTAAAATATAATATATTAAAATACTAAAAAGACAATGTTTGAAATATGTTTAACGCATTGTGGATCTTTTTTCTTTTTATTTGAATTTTAATTTCAATAATATTTTACATAAGTGAATAAAATTAATTTTGACTTGCAAACTAAACAAACAATGTGGTTTGATGTGAATTTGAATTTGGAGGTATTTATTTATTGTATTTAGTTTGAAATATTTTTTATATTTTGAATATAAAAAAATATGCTGATAATATAAAAACTAGTATTTATATTAAATAATTACTTTTTTTTTAAGTGAGTATAGTATATAGTATTTATTATATTAAAGTAAAATAGGTAAAAATATATAATTATATGAAATCAAATCAAATTTTTATTTTTAATATTATTATTTAAAGTGTATATTAAAAATACCATATCAATAATTATTTATACTACATCAAATAACTATTCAAATTTAAATTCTTATTATTTCAATATAAAACACAACCAAACAATATACCTAATAAAAATTAGGCACTAATTATAATGGAGCATATATTTACAATAGTGGATGACTTCAAGTCATCGTCTCATTATGGGATGAGGGACTCTCTGCTTTTTTTTGGCGCTTTCAATATTTTTTTGTATAATACATAAATAAATAATTGAGTAATTATATATATATATATTTTTTAAGCATATATTCGTATATTTACAATTAAACATTTTTGTACTCAAAACATATTTGTAACCTTTTTTTAAATTTATTTACTAAAATAATAAAAAAAAAAATTGAAGAAAATTTTCTTAGTTGTCTTTATTCTTTTAAAAACAATTATTAACCACCCTCACTAAAAGAAAGTATATTAGTTTATCACATAAAATATTACATCAAATCAATATACAAAAAATATAAAATAAAAATACAAATCAAGTATACTAGAAAATACTCCCTCATATTATGTCCACGTCCCACATTCTATGTTGAAAAATAATTATTGTCCGCCTATAAAAAATATAGTATAAATTAAGAAATGTGACCTTTAAATTTGGCTTCATTTTCAACTTTATCCGCCAAAATATAGTATAAATTAAAAAATATGACCATTAGATGCGAACAAATTTCGTAGTTTTCTATATAAATGTTAATATTTGAATAATATTTATTTTACTCCTTCCTGCATCCAAATTTTATTCACGTTTTTTTTTTTAGAAAAAAATCATTTTTCTATACCAAAAAAAAAATTCTTTTCGTTTTTTTAGTAAAAAAATCACTTTTCTTTACCCAACAAAAAAAAAAAAAAGTTTTTTTAGTAAAAAAATCACTTTTCTTTACCCAACATAAAAAAAAAAAAAAATTCTTTACCAAAAAAATAAAAATTTCTATTCACGGAGGGAGTATAAATCAGTGTTGTAAACAAACCAAGGCTCAGTTTAACAATTTGAGTTTCTTAAATTTTTTATTTAAATTTTAATTTAAATAATATTTTTATATAAAAAACATAATATTTTATTTCATAATATATATTATTAAAAATTGTACAGAATGATTTAAAGCCAAAACCAAAATCTATGATAAATTATAGAACATATATATGTGATCATTTTTAGATTGGAGTATTTTTTATTCCTCAACACCATAATATACTTCTCCCAAGACCATAATAATTCAAGAAAAGAAGATAGATTTGGTTTCGAAAAATTTGTATTTCAATTAATATAAATAATTTGTAGAAACAAAAAAAAAAAATAATAATAATATAATATTAATATTTTTTATAAAAATCCTTCCAGAGAATTCTGTTCAATTTTGAATTTTAATTTTGATAGTAATATTTTAAATATAAATATAAATTTAAATGTAATAAAATTAATAAAAATGGAATGTTACTGTTTTTTAAAAAAATAGAAAAAATATAATAATAAAATCTGATATAAAATCTGGCGCTGTACAGACACAAACAACATACATACATACGTCGGTGTTGTGCATACATCAAACACTGCACTCCACTCATTCATTCATTATTATAATATTATTATTAATATTAATATTAATATACACACGTACGGACGACACGACCAGCAGACTACCCTACTGCACCAAATGAAACCCTAAACCCTAATTAAGATCATACATACATATATATATATATATATATATTGAAAAACATATTTATTTATTTATTTAGTTATTTATTTATCAGTAGTGTTCTTGTACTTGGACTCGTCGATCTGAATACCCTCCTCGGCGGCGCGTTCCCCGCCGGACTTATCGAGGGTGCTGAGGCCCCCCTTCCTGCCCATCTCCTGGTACCCCTCCTGCCCTAACTGCTCCTTCCTGGTCTGCCCGCCCCGGCTCCGCCCCTCCGCCAGGTGCTCCTGGGCCTCCAGGCTCTTCCCGCCGGTCCCGCCGGGCACCACCACCTCGCCCTTCCGGGCCCGGGCGTCCAGCTCCTTCCTCTCCTGCCCCGAAGCCATTAATTACTATATATAATTATTCGGAAATTATTTTTGTCGTTGTTCTGACTGACTGATTGAATATGTGTGGAAAGAGGGTTGACATGTTCGAAGGTATTTATAGGGAGTTCCGGGGGGCGGCGGTTGTGCGCCGAATGGGGACAAGTGGACGCCGGCCTGCGGAGATGGCGACGCGTGTCAGGACGGAATGACACGTGGCTTATGCGGGGAGTGATACTTGGACGGGCTGTCTCTCTGTTTGGTTGGAATTTCGAAACGGTGTTTGCGGTTTTTCTTACTTCACCTCATTTTCAAATGTCTTCAAACTTTAAAAAAAATAAATTAAAATTAAAATTAAAAAAAAAATAAATTAAAAAAAAAAAAAAAAAACTGAGGGGTGCGGGTGTTTCGATTTTTATTTTTATTTTTTAGATTTTCTATTTATTTTTTTAGATTAAAAAAAATCAATTTTAAATGTGATTTTTGATTAAGATGCATTTTGTGTAAGATATATATAGAGAATGTTATTCTCGTTGAAATGAGTATTGAATTTAATATAATTTTTTAAAATGAATTGTACAAAACATGTAGGTGAAATTAGATGTATTTGATTCATATTTTAAACATAGATAAAAATATATTTTTTCGTCGTTGTTTAAATTTATATACTCCCCATCCTCAAATCAAAGGGTTTAGGTAGGTTTCGCAGTAGATTAAAAAATAAGATTATTTTATTATAATAGAGGTGTCTAAGAGTTTTTGACGTGGCAGTTGACCTAGAAAGTACGCGACCATGTAAAATTATATATGGCCATGTATATTTCAGTGTATAATTATACATGATCATGTTGTTATACGGCCATGTACAATTATACACGGCAATGTTGTTACAGGGCCATGTATATTTCAGTGTATAATTATACATGGTCATATTATTACACGGCCATATACAATTATACACGGCCATGTTGTTACATGACTATGTATATTTCAGTGTATAATTATACATGACCATGTTGTTACACGGCCGGCCGTGTATCTTTCTGTTTCGGTCTATAATTATAATTTTTTGTTATATTTTTAAATTTTTTTTTTTGAATTTAGAATAATTGATATAGTTAAAATGAAAAAAAAAATAATCATAATATAATTAAAATATATCGATTTTAGTTCAAATATAAGTATTTATCGAGTATTTTCTTTTGGAAGATTTTGTCTAAAATTATACTATTTAGCAAAAAAAACTTCTCTTACAAACATCTAATTAATGTATTGAAATTTTTGCTAAATAGTAGAATTTTAGACAAAATCTTCCAAAAGAACATACTCGATAAATACTTATATTTGAACTAAAATTGATAATATTTTAATTATATTATGATTATTATTTTCCATTTTAACTATATCAACTATTCTAAATTTAAAAAAAAAAAAAAATTTAAAAATATAACAAAAAATTAAAATTTTAGACCGAAACAGAAAGATACACTGCCGTATAGAATTATACGTGGCCTTGTAGCAATATGGTCATGTATAATTATACACTGAAATATGCATGGTCATGTAACAACATGGCCGTGTATAATAATTGTACATGGCCGTGTAACAACATGACCATGTATAACTATATACTGAAATATACATGGCCGTGTAACAACATGGTCATGCATAATTATACACTGAAATATACATGGCCATGTAACAACATGGCCGTGTATAATTGTACATGGCCTTGTACTTTCCAGGTCAACTGCCACGTCACCTCCGTCATGTCCACGTCAGCAATTTCCGTTAGTTTTTTAACGGTGGGACCAAAATTGATAAAAATTGTTTATAATGAGACCAAAATTGATTGAAATTGTTTATATTGGGACCAAAATTGATGAGTTTTTTACATTGAAACTAAAATTGATAAATTTTGGTTATATTGGGTCATAATTGATGAATTTTTTATATGGACCAAAATTGATTTTTTTTCAAATTTTTTTATGTTAATAAAAAAACTGTGTTGATAATATAAAAAGTTGATAATATAAAAATAATATTATTCATAGTTGATGAATAATATATATATTATATTGATTTTTATGTATATTTATATTTTTTAATAATATTTATAAAAAGTTATTCGACTGAATAAAATATTTTTATCCAAATATTAAGAGCAAATAGTAATGATATATATATTTTTTATAACAATAGTAAGTTAAGAAATATAGTAAAAGAAATATCTCCCATCTTCTTCTTGGTCACCTCACCTGTGAAAGAATTTTCTCATTTCGTCTCCCCCACTTCACCCGACCCTACCCCACCAAGGATTTCTAACTTCCCCAAATTATCACCCCTGACCGCACTCTCCTCTATCGTCCCTCCGATCGGCCCATCCACGACCACCGCAGTGCCCTCCACCGACGGATTACAGGCAAGACGCAGTAGAGCTCCCCCCGAGGCGGTGAGTTCACGCGAGGTCGCGCTTTCCCTGATCTTGGTTTATTATTGCCTGATTTCCCCCATCGAACGGTGACACCATCGGCGACGGGCTGTTCCTGGATAATCCTCGAATATCTGCCGGCGGTAAATATAATCTATCTCCACTTCGTTTCCCTCAATTAATTTCAATGGATTTCGCAACGGCCGTTTGGTATTCAGCCTTTTGTTCTCCGTCTTTCGGAGTGCATTCTCAGATCCATAGCCCCTGTTACTGATTTATGTTTAAATTTCTGATGCTTTTTTAGGATCCTTTCGGCCTTACTCCTAAATTGTATATTGAGGAAGAAATTGCTGTGATAAGTGAACACAATAGTGATACTTTCGTATCAAATTGAATAGCAGTGTCTGGTGAATTCTAATATTTTTCTGTGAGTCAATTTTGAGTTATGATCAAGATCAGTGCTTCTGAATGTGGTGTCTCAAATGTTGACTAAAATGTGTTGTTGTGTCTAACATTTTGGCCTTGTTAAGCTGGAAACAGATTTTCTTAGTGACAGTTGTTTTTTAATTCTAATTTTTAGTTATGGGTCTTGCATTATATGCATGGACATATTGCAAAAATGAATTGATATTCAATTTTCCATGAATGCTCGTGGACTCAATATTCCTTTTGAATAAATAAAAATGTTAAACCTTGTTTCTTTCGCCTCTGGAAATCTGTTCAAGGTTCAAATCTTGGAATTGGTGAAGTAGGATTTGAAGAAGATAATAGAATAAAAATACTTGTTTGTTCTGATTTCGAGCTAATATATCTGGATATTGTCTTTGAAACATCATGTTAAAACTTTGTTCAGTTTAAACAATTCTAAGTTCCTTGATCTAAAGTGACTGTCCATCTTCTGCAACCCTTGAGTCCTGGGTATGGTGATTGTTTAGCTATGTGCTATCTGCTAGCTTTCTTGAAACGAAATGCTCTGATGCATCTGTATATCTCATGTTCAGGTTTCTATGTAAATGCAGCCATAAGCCAAATTCACTAAGTTTTGAGATTTTGAAATAAAAAAATCTGTTTCTCCATAATCTAGAATTGAATGTTTTGCAGAATTTTCCTTTTGTTCATCCATATGACTAAAATAACCCAAAATCTGGTCTTTTGAATCCAATTCAAGGAATTATAGCTTCCCATTCCGGTGACATAGATTGTGTAGCTTATGCCCAAAATTTCCAGGTTTATTTAGATTCAACGGATCCTAGGCATTCAATCATGAGCTATTGGACAGTGAAGAATAACTGATGGCTTTCATCAAATATGAATGTATCCTATTTCGCTAGAGAATTCATCAGGGAATAGCAGTTGGATATCTGTAGATGTAGCTGTATTTAGGTATCCATTAAAGTGCGATATTTGTGGTTACAGGTGGTTCCTCTTTTAATGTTCTATATATTCTTTTTTCCTTCTTTTTTTTCATTGTACATAGATGAATTTCGATGTAAATATATTACAACATATTAGGAAGTTAAACTAAATTTGATCCCATTTAAAGTGTTTGATCATATTGAAAATTAAAATAAATCACATTTTGTCTTACTATTAAGTTATGGTACTGATGTGTCTATAGATGTGAACACAACATAGGTGTGTTGGATGAATTATATGCTGACCAGGCTATCTGCACCAACTGCCACATCCACATCTGTTGGAAAGTTGGGGAGGCAGGGGGGGGGGGGGGGTAAAAGAAAATTAAATGGGACCACATTTGATTAATCTTTTTTGTGATTAATCTTAATAGAACTTACTTTCCTAAACCTTATTTACGGCCCATTATTACAATTTCTAGAATTATATTTATTAAACAAAATTTAGAAAGATATTTAGCAAAATCTGATAGAGATTCTACCATATTAAATATAGCGGTATTATCATAATTACCCTTTATTTGTAATGATTTATTAACAATATATTTCTTTAGAGTTAGATTTTACAATAATTTTCATAACCATTATTATATAAAAATTTCTTGTTGCTATATATATATATACATTAAATTTTTTAACCAAAATTTCAACTAGGCATTATTATTATTGTTCTTATTGTTATATTTGCATTATATTTTTTCATATTATGTGATTGTCATGCCTAGATTGTCTAACTGGGCTAAGGTGCAATTGTGCCAAATTCTGTCCATGCAAGATAATTTTGTGCGTTAGCTGCATACCAAAATTAACTTGTATATAAACATCTACCCTAAATACTACAAGGAACATTAATTTGTTTCTTCCTGCTTTGGCGGATGAGAGATAAGCACAAATCTTTATTCATGCTTCTGTATACGCACTGATGCAATCTTCTTATTAGTTGTCTATATGTTGTCTAAATTAATTCGGGGCCTGTTTGGTTGGGGGTATTTGGGCTCAAGTCATTTCAAATCCAATGATTAAATTATAAAAATCTGTTTGGGTAAGGGTGGATTTTTAATCCACAAGGTATTTGAAAACTAACTACTATTTCATTTCAAATCCATCGTAGAAGTGGTCATTTCAATTCCGTCTCTGTTTCGCATCTTAACGCTTTTTTGTTTGGTGATGTTGACATATTTTTCTGGCTTCTCTAGATATTAGTAAAATATATATTTCAAAACAAGGAATTTGAATTATTGATTAATTTCAAATTTAATGAATTCCAAATCTATTAATTTTAAATCACCTCTCAAATACAAATCCTCCTATCCAAATGTCGCCTCAGATCTTTTGGAATCTTTCTTTAACATTTTGGTTCTGTTCCAAGTTTGAGTTATTTTTGGTAGATTGTGATGTGCTTAATATCTTGGAGAAGTCATTAAATGTTATATAATTAAGTTATTTTTTTGTTCATTATTCCTTTTAATGTATTATGAAGTGTTTCTCTGTTAGCTGAAAGATTACACACTAAAGGTATTTTTTTTGTTTGTTTATTCCTCAGATGGATTATATTCACTCTCTTTTATAGCTAGGAGCATCAAAGGAAATTGATGTCTCAATCTATTATTGCTATGTCTTAATTTCCACCCCGATTTGTTTTATGAGGTCAGGCAATTTCTTATGCATCCTTTTTTTTTTCTTCTGTAGGTATAACATTTGCACTATTTCAAAGTTGATTGCATTTTGGTATGTGCAATATGCTATACAGTGATAATTATAAGATATATCATGAACGTTTTAGATCCTTAATTCATATGTGAACACTTGAAGGCCAAGCCGGATGTGATGTAATGTATGGGAAAAAGTTGGAGTTGAAAACTTGAAATTTAGAATTTTGTTTCGAGGGAATAAAAATGAACTGTTATGTTAGAACCTAGTAGATGTGTTTGTTTGTTACATTTATGTTCGCCATCTGATTAGTGGGCTTTTCGTTTTTTTATTTTTTATGCTATTCCCTGGAATATTAGGGCCAGGAATAATAGACTTTTATATTGCTCCAAAATTTTGTAATGTATCTTGAAGAATTGTGCATATTGCAAGCAGGTTTTCCATGTAAACCCAATTCTCTTGCAAGAAAAGATGTGAGGCAATTTTACATGTTTCTGTTTCTGGTGCAGTGTTATTTAATTGGGATCAAGCTTTAATTTCCTTTTTTTTGTTTCTTCCAGCCCGCCTGCCCGTTCGCCACATGAAATTATTAATCCTACTTTTGGAAAAAAGTTTAAAGACCAGTGAATTGTAAAAGCATGGACTCATATGGTGAGCCTCTAAGATTTGTTTTAGATGATGTTAAATTATGTTTGCTTGTTTATATATGTATTCCATGTAAGTCTGAGATATGATGTCTTGCTTCCATGAAGGTTAATGGATGATCCATTTACTTTTAAGTTAGTTCACTAGATCAATTGAGCACCTTTTGTCAATATTATGTTCTTTGTTATTATTTTTATATTTTCTAGAAGTGTGAGTTGTTACTTTCAGACTGAGACATCCATCAACATGAACAGAGCAGACCTTCCCAAGATATTACTTTTCGAAGTCTTGTGAAATATGTCATTCTGTCTGGATGAGTGAAGATTTTATTGTAATTTTTTGAACTGTTTTCGATTTGGTAATTGGTAGTGTTCTTTGTTGAGTTTCTTGAGTTGGAAAGAGAGATAAAATGTTTTTCATAATATAATTTTCCCATCTACGTGACTTCCTTGTCATTATTCTGATTCCTGAAGAAAAAGCGAAGATGTAAAATCATGCTTTCATGATTTAGTCACAATTAGAAAACAAAAGGTGGTGGTAATTCCCACTGAATTGCTTTTGACTTTTCTTTTCCTTCTAACTGCAAGCGGAAGTCCTGGAATCATGCATCCTTGTTGGTTTTTTGTCCATTAGATGTGGTAAATTCATCTTGTATCCTTTCCCACAACTTTGATTTTTTTCCTGTTGCAGATGGTTTTCTACGGGACACATCTGTTGTTGTTGTTACATTGGACTCGAGTGAAGTATATATTGTTGTTAGTTTGTCTACTAGGACAGACACTCAGGTTATATATATTGATCCAACAACTGGAGCTCTTCGCTATACTGCAAAACAGGGCTATGATGTTTTCAAATCCCAAAATGAAGCACTTGATTACATCACCAATGGCTCAAAATGGCTTTGCAAAACTGTAACCCAAGCACGGGCGATATTAGGCTATGCAGCCCTTGGCAGCTTTGCGTTACTGCTGGTTGCAACGAAGTTGTCTGCAAGCATACCAAATTTACCTGGTGGAGGATGTGTTTATACTGTAACCGAAAGCCAGTGGATAAAAGTTTCTCTTCAAAACCCTCAGCCACAGAGTAAAACTGAAAATAAAAATATTCAAGAATTGACTGAGCTTGATATAGATGGGAAACATTATTTCTGTGAAACTAGAGATATTACTCGCCCTTTTCCAAGCCGTCTGCCTGTGCAGAATCCTGACGAAGAATTTGTTTGGAATAAATGGTTCTCAATGCCTTTCAAAGAGATTGGGCTTTCACTGCATTGTGTCATTCTTTTGCAGGTTTTAGTCACACTTGGTATTTTTACATATGTTCTATCTAAACTATACTTATCTTGACTTTTTTATTTTATTTTTTTGAACATTCTCTTATTTTTTTTATGAGCTCTTTAGTATCAATGAATGATGTTATTGATTACTGAAATTTATGCAGCTCCATGCCCTTTGAGTGATAGTCTTTACATTGAAAGTATGTTTCAAAATGAAATTTTGATGTTTTTAAGGTTGTATCCTGTGAATACCAACGACTCATTTGTAATTAGTGGAGTTTCCCAGAGAACTTTATCACTTTCACTTTTTATGAGCCATAGGAAGTGATATATTTTCTTTTCCTAATGCTAAAAGCCTATGTAGAATTTACAATTTATGTAGCAGCATGTTCGGTTGAATACACTTGAGGTGTCAACTGTTGCCAGCTTGAAAAGTTATATCTAAATTAAAATGCTTAAATTATGCCTAAATGCTTTTGGACCAAATCTTTCTAGTAGGTAGTCCTGTACTGTTTTTGTTCTTTTACTAATTTCATTTTGTAGCCAAGGGTTTGAGACAATGAATTTATGACAGGTTTGGAGTTAGGATGGGGAACAAGCACAAAAACCAACTGATGTTAAGTCCTTAAATGTGCATGCCCAAATTGCTTAGATAGAAAGTCTGAAAACTTTGACGGCATTTGAATGTAGATCTAATGAAACTGTTTCTTTAGTTCAAGGAATAAACTAATCTAGCTGCCATGTACTAGCATGCATAACCTTCAGTGGTTAATTTGCAAATGATTTGAGCCATACTTCTTATACATTCAATTTGTTCCCATTGAAAAATGCTTAGATGAATATTACCCACTACTATAGTGAGCTTGTAGTCTTGTACCTTTTATCTTTGAGAAACTTTTCAATGTAACATTTACATTTCAAAACCTTGATCACTTAGCTTTATTACAGCTGAAACATTTTCTGTGTTGTTTTCCCATCTGATAGAATTTACATGAATCGTGGCAATAAGGAGTAGATATCTTACTCATGTGAAAGTTCCCTTTTATTACTTAATTATTACCCCTTCTATCTTTTACTTGGCTTGATTCAGTACTCAGTCATAAACTGACATATCTTTTTCCTCATTTTGGTTAAGTGTCATCCGAACCAACAAAGTACTGCAGTTAGACCAGTATAGTTGGCAGCACTAAACAATCTAATCATTTAATGTAGAGCATTTTACGATAAAAAATTTGAAATACTAGAAGCATTTTATTGTAATCTGAATTATCATCCCTCTGGTAATACTCAATTCTACTTTCCACTAATTACAAGCAAAGCATTTCTCAAAGATTATATAATTTATCATTCGCCAAACTCTATTACCTTTAATAGAAAGAATCTTAAGCTTCCAAACTACTTGAGTGTGCTAATCAAACTTCTGTCGCAGTTAGTATAAGAACATAGAAAACTTGCTATAATAGAACTCGTGAATCTTGTTGTTCTGTAATGAATATGGAACATTCACACTACAGATTGGCTGGGGAACAGATGATTGCTGCATGAAGGTTGAATGCTTTGTAGAAACTTATGTGCATTATGTTCCCAATAATTATCTAAATAAAAATGAAATTTTCTTTAACTCTTAAAGACACAGCTTATATGCTTTCAAACTGCTCTTGTTTTTCCCACTATCATGCAAACTATTCGCTTTTCCGTGTTTATGTTTGCATAAATACTCAATATTCAATTCCAAGCAGTCGATTAATCTTTAATAATGTGCACCTGTTTCTCAAAGGTTGTTATTGACATTCTTGAAGGTATTTTAGTCTGATGCTTTTGTTATTGTAGATAATTGTGTTGACTGGTTAATGACACACTCAATTATGTTGTAAAGGGTTTTGCAGAGCAGAGGACTTTTGGCAGTCTTGGGCAGCAGGAAGGTTTCGTTGCACTCACTGCTCGCCGTAGTAGGCTGCATCCTGGGACTAGGTACCTAGCGAGAGGTTTAAACTCGTGTTATGGCACAGGTGATATACATATATATGTATTTATATATCTTCACTATTTTTGAAGGGTTTTTGCTTGATTTGAGTCTCCTTTTTCTTTTTCGGATAAAGTTCTGTTATATTAAGCATGCATAATTATGCAGAATTTACTTAAAATGATGATTTATAAGTCCATGGGCAAAATTTTGCTTGGTCCAAAGTTCTTTCATTATGTGCATTATCCTGTTGCATCATCTACGTTTGAGTTGTATCATACATTGAACTTATTTTGAAACTGTGTTGTTGAATTGTATAAAAATATGTTGAACCATTTATGAAATTTGCTGAACCATATAAAAGACACCATGGTACTAAATTGTTGAACTACGGTGTAAATCTGTTGAACTATAATGCAAATATATTGAGCATATTTTGTAAATTTGTTCAACACTTTTAACAACAAAATATTATTGAACCATAGTGTAAATCTGCTAAACTACACAAAAATTGTTGAGCCACGTGTAAATCTATTAAACCGCAACCACATAAGAAAATCTGCCTCTGCATCACTGAAAATTATTATGTTGTCTGCAAGATCTGTTTTGATGTAATATAAATTGACTATTTGATGTGATTTTTTTTATATTGAATAAATTTTAGATGTTATATTTAACTAGAAACTATAGCTTTGTTCTCATTGAGTTTTTCATTTTTAGCTTTCTTATGTAATCTCAAAATTCCCTATAGAAAACATATGAAATTTACATACAAAACAGCACATCCAACAACTATTTCACCCAAAAATCAATACGCAAACACACAGACACAAAAAATCAAGTGAACAAACCTGATTTGTATGATATAATAATTTTTGGAGGGAAAAAAATAGGTTACTATAGAGGGATGGTATGTAAGTTGTTTGAAAACACAACCAAACAGTCCTCGATGCATTGTTGGGGCAGAATATAAAGCCTTGGCAAATTTAGTATGTGAGGTCTTATGAATACAATAGTTGATGAGAGAGATTGATCACAAACTTGATCTTCCAGAAAAATTAAGGTGTGACATGCTTTGTTTATAGCATCTCCGGTATTCCATGAACAGACAAAGCATATCAAAATTAATTTTCACTTTGCTTGCAACAAATTCCAAGAAGGATTTTGCTCTATATAATATGTATAGTTGTAAGATTCACTAAGACATATATTCTCAAAGAATTATGTAGAGTACAGATCACTCATGTTCAAAAAAACTAGTTGGGCATGATATACATATATATATGTTCCAGCTTAACCGGGGAGAGGTGTTGACTATATATATAAGTATCGATGTAGATAGGATATTTCTAATGATTAGAATATGATTACTATTTCTGTTTAGATAGGCTCCTAACTGTGTATATATGTGTGTAACCTAACCTTATTAAATAAGAAATATCACATTCACACAAAATATAATATGCATAATTATTCATCCCCTTTTGTTGCCTATCCTCTTCGGCAGTTGTAACATTGTTTGACAGTTTCTTATGGTATGTTTACATGATGAATGGCATGTAAGTGTTTTTACTACCTGGTTTATGCAGCCACATTGTTTTCTATCAGTATTTATTATCATAGTACTTTCCACAAGGGTGTTCATTCACATGTGACCAATTGCTTGTTATGCCAGGCAATGAAGTAGAATGCGAACAACTTGTTTGGGTTCCAAAAAAGGCAGGACAAAGTATTCCTTTCAACACTTATATTTGGCGTAGAGGCACCATTCCTATGTGGTGGGGTGCTGAATTAAAACTTACAGCTGCAGAAGCAGAAATATATGTCTCTGATCGTGACCCTTATAAAGGAAGTGCCCAATACTATCAGAGGTTGTCTAAACGATATGATGCACGAAATCTGGATGTAGCTAGTGGAGGGCATCCAAAAAGAAGTGCTTTGATTCCAATTGTATGTGTGAACTTACTGAGAAATGGAGAGGGGAAATCAGAATCGATTCTAGTTCAGCATTTTGAAGAATCTTTGAACTATATTCGTTCCACTGGAAGCCTTCCATACACACGAATTCATTTAATAAATTATGATTGGCATGCTAGTGTAAAGCTGAAAGGAGAACAACAGACAATTGAAGGACTATGGTATCTTCTAAAGGCTCCTACAATTTCTATAAGCATTTCTGAGGGTGATTATTTACCTTCACGACAAAAAATTAACAATTGCAAAGGCGAAGTTATATATAGTGAGGACTATGATGGCGCCTTCTGCTTAAGATCACATCAAAATGGAGTTATACGTTTCAACTGCGCCGATTCATTGGATAGAACAAATGCTGCTAGTTTTTTTGGTGCACTTCAGGTTTTTGCTGAGCAATGCAGACGATTAGGCATATCACTTGACAGTGATTTAGCACATGGTTATAACTCTCCTGGTAACTACTCTGGATATGTTGCCCCACTGCCTCCTGGTTGGGAAAAAAGGTCTGATGCAGTGACTGGGAAAACATATTATATTGATCATAACACGAGGACAACTACTTGGAATCATCCTTGTCCAGACAAACCTTGGAAAAGGTTTGACATGACTTTTGAGGAGTTCAAGAGATCTACAATCCTGTCACCTGTGAACCAATTGGCTGATATTTTTTTAATTGCTGGTGACATTCATGCAACTTTATACACGGGGTCCAAAGCCATGCACAGTCAAATTCTTAGCATTTTTAGTGAGGATGCAGGCAAGTTTAAGCAGTTCTCTGCAGCACAGAATGTGAAAATCACATTACAGAGAAGATATAAGAATGCAGTTGTAGATAGCTCGAGGCAGAAGCAATTAGAAATTTTTCTGGGACTAAGGCTCTTCAAGCATTTTCCTTCAGTCATGTTCCATCCCTTGAATGTATGTAATTGTCGGATTCCACCATTTATCTTGCTTTGTGTCCTTGATGTGTTTTCTGCTTTGCTCTTTCTCCTCTTTCAAGCTCTATATTGTTTAATAACCATCTTATTTTCATTTTTAATCTGTTTAAAGCATCCTGTCATTTGTTTTTAGTTATTTGACTTAAATTTATCACTGTCCTTGCCTTTAGAAGTCTTTTATTTGATGTCTTTGGTAAATTTCACGCAAACAAACTTTTTCTCTTTCTATCACTCTGTTGGTAGGTTGTCCTAGAACTTTCTTAGCTGCAGCATCAAAGTGTGTTACATTTACAAATCAATTCTTAGATCTTTTGAATTTCAGTTTCTCATCTGTAAAGAATATTTATTAACTATGATTGAGGAAAGATGAATATGTTATGTTATATGTATATAGAATAAAAGATGAATATGTTATGCTATATGTATATAGAATAAAAAGTTATTAAAGTACATTGGTGCCAATCTCTTTGAGGAAATTCAGCAACGCAATTGTACCGTATGCACTGCTCTTGCCTCCACCAATCATTGGGTCAACAAGCAGTTTATACGGGGCATTGCCATGGCTTACTGACTGGATTTTAGTTTGGAGTGAAACAATATAAGTGCTAGAATGTTGAAATTTATGCTATGTTAATTGAACTTGGAGATTTATCATGCCTGGATAAGAGATCGCTGCAGCTCCACGCACGGATTTAAATAATTAGGTCACTTATATTCATTAGGAGAACTAGTGCTGTAAACATTAAGTTCTTGTTTGCTAATCATCATCGTCATCTAAGGCCTAAGCTTTTATCTCACCGTGAGGGATTTCTGATGGCTTTTTCACTCCATATGCTACAGTTCTTATGTATGGAATACATACAAATTCAGAAGAAAAAGCATAAGTTACTTTACCATCTCAGTGGTGTTCTTTATCTGTAGCATGTAAGGTATCTATAATATTTGAGGGGAAATTTTCAGATCACAACTCTCAGGTTTATTTGAAATGGGTATGATGTTTGAGGTTCATATGCTTTACTGTTCCAAGACAGTACTTATATCTTAATATTTTTCTGTTTAGTTGTCGGTATTGAGATTTATAAATGACTAGTGGGTGACTATCAATATCTGCAAGCATTCTCCAATTCAATCAATGCTATGCATTAATTTGTTGATTATATTATTATTATTTTTAATTAAGTTTCCGTACATGCTAATTTTTTATTGATCTCATACTGAAGCCACCTGTATTTTACGATTTATGATGATTCCTTAGGTACCTTCACGTCCCTTTGGATGCTTTTTGAAGCCGGTTCCGAGCATGTTTTCATCTTCTGATGGTGGAGCAAGTCTCTTGAGTTTCAAAAGAAAAGACCTTATATGGGTACTCAATTTAATGCTATATGTATAAGGACTTAAAAAATCGATGACCCTGTTTTTTAGGAAAAAAAAAAAAAAATTGTTATTTGAAGTATTAATATAACCTATGTCATCTTTTCATTTGTTTATGCATACAACAGGTTTCTGCACAAGCTGCAGATGTAGTTGAACTCTTTATCTATCTTGGCGAGCCGTGCCATGTCTGCCAGCTTCTTCTTACTGTGGCACATGGTGCTGATGATGCTACTTTTCCTGCATCAGTTGATGTTAGAACTGGGCGATATCTGGATGGACTTAAACTTGTTCTTGAGGTCTGGTACATCTCATCTCTTCATTGATCTTCTGAACTTTCTTGAGCAACAATTTTTTACATAGTTTTTCCATCTTGATTTCATAGTATTGTTATGTTCCTTCTGAACCTTGTGAATTGTGATAGTAAGTCTTTGGAATGCTGACTTGCCTTCCCAGTTGACAAGAATAATGATAATGAGTAACTTAAGAGGTCATGAAATGTTGTAGCTAAGGCTAGACTATTGAACTAATTGAGACCACTAACAATTGTTTTAGCTTGCCTTTGGTGATACCAGTTAGGACTTGGGATGGTTGAACCATTGGATCAAGAATTTTAGTGAAGGATAAAAAAAATGCTTCAAAAACCACACTGGATTTGGAAGCATTCCATGCCCACTAATTTTATAGGTCCCTCCGGGCCTTAACTGCTGCTGGGGAGTGCAGTTGCAGTATATCTTCAATGCATACTGAGAGATTCACCATATGATGTGAGAATCTGTAACTAACTGTGTATGGAAGCAGGTGTTGGAGGCAGTGAGACACTAGGGTTGTGTTTGGTACAGTGAATTGGCGGGGATGAGTAAGAGAAATGGAAGTTTAGAATTAGATCATTTTCATTTCTCTCGTATTCGAAAGAAATGAATGTTGCAGTATTATTTTTTTTTAGTTTTTTATCTCTTCTGTTCTATTGAAATCTTTTAATTTTTAAAAATTATATTATTTCAAGTTTACAAAAATCACATTAAATTTATTATTCAAGAATTTAATTTTTACGATTTTTAAAAAAATTGTACTAACATATAATCTTACACAACATCGTATATAATTTATAAGTTTTTTAAAACAGTCACCAAAAATATTTTTTCATGAATTCTCACTCGTTAAAACTCTTTTTTGTCCAATTAATCCTTTATTTTTTGTTCGATCCATTCAAAAAGCTCTATTTTTTTTTACATTTTTATTTTACCAAACAAGAGAATTAATTCTCATTCTCGGTCAATTGATTTTCTCTTGCAATTCTATTCTCTATTATCACTTTTCTGAGATTCCATTCTTGGCACCAAACGACCCCTAGGAATCAACCTTATTATAGGAAGTTTTAGAAGTTCAACCTTTTTGAAGTCATATAAATCATAGAATTGATAGCCAACAGCTGGAATCCAGTCACTTCTAGAGTTTAACCAATGCTTTCATTAACCTTATTTACTTTTCTGTTATCTGTTTGTTCTACTATTCATCATGAGCTTTGTGATAGTGACAAGGTTGATAAATATTTAGCATGCAGACTTTCATTGTCTTTAGAGTCTAAATCTAACATTAACTCTTAACAGGGAGCTTCCTTACCTCAATGTGCAAATGGGACAAACATTCTGATTCCATTGACAGGACCCATCAGCCAAGAAGATATGGCTGTTACTGGAGCAGGTACGCGTTTGCATGCCCAAGAGAACTCTAGCCCTTCAAGTTTATATGATTTTGAAGAACTGGAAGGAGAAGTGGATTTTCTTACTAGGGTTGTTGCCATAACATTTTATCCTGCCGTGGCTGGACAGGGTCCAATGACAATTGGTGAGGTATGAAAAGTCAGAACAACCAATATTTGAAGAAACTTATAGATAGATCAATATTTATTTTGGTTGCTTATGCAGGTAGAGATCCTTGGAGTTTCTCTTCCGTGGAGGTCAATACTTTCCCATGAAAAAAGTGGTGCTAGGTTCATTCCACACGCAAATGGTCATCCAAAGGAAAGCAAACCTGTTGTTTCTGAAACAGATGCTAATCCTTTCGCTGCTTCTATAACAAATAATGAGCCTAATCCATTTCAACCAGAATCATCGCCCAGCCCCCTGATAGACCTTTTAACTGGAGAATTACTTCCAGATCCCATTTCTCAACCAGTTGCAGACACTGTGGTTCACAAAGAGAGTGACTTGCTTGACTTTTTGGATGGTGGCACCACTCAGCTAGTTTCTGATGGAACTGACCACTTGAAGGATGGTGCATCACAAAGACCTTCTGATATTGGTTCGCAACAGTACCTTAGATCTTTTAAACTCCTTGCTGGTCCCCACTGGGTAAGTTTATTGCTGAATAAATATTTAACTTGTAACATGCCTGTTTATTTGCTGCTGAATTTCTGGTCTTCTTTGATATGTTTGTTGTGTACAGACATTCCATATTTTCTTGATTATACAGTAAGTTTGACCCCTTACAACTTCTACCAGCCATGCATCTGTGATTAATGGAACATGATCGTGTAACCTTCATGCATCTATGATTTATAGAAGACATGAATGTTCTGCTATTGTATGCTGGTAATGATGCTCAAAATAGTAGATGCCACGGGTCTGAATTCAATTTTCAACACATGTAACCAAACACATTTTGTGCATGAACTTATCACATTGCAAGTGTTGATTATTATTTTTAAATAATTACTGACTGAGATCTCAATGTAGTATGGAAGTGTTGCTTTAACCTACAATCTGTTATTCATCTCCCATCTGATTTAACCAAACGCTGGTCACACAGCCTGATGCTTTGATAAGGGAATGATTGTTCCCAGCATTGATTAAAATGATTGAATTGTTTGCTAAGTGTGAAGTATGAGCGTTTGTTTTCATCCATTTGTTAGATTGAGTTCTTTGTATGGTGCTGATGCTGAGTTAGATCGTAGTAGAATTAATAATTGTATTGCTGCAAGTTTCAAGAAAGTTGTTTGATTTTCAGTATTAAACTTTTAAACATGTAATATTCCAAATTCAAATTGGTTTAAGAAATAAGTTAACTATAAAAGTATAATTATATAATTATTGAATCTGGTATAAAGAAGTCCAGATCAGTTTTTGATCCTTCCAACTATTTTTGTTTCTCGTTTAATATGAATAAAAAGATAACAATGACTAGTTTCTCATTAGAGCATACTGTACCAAGAATAGGTAACAGAGGAATATGTCTTCTTTGTCATTTTTTCCAGGATTTATGTCTTGAATTTGCAAACTCATTTGGCATTTCAGGGTATTTGTGAATTGTTTCCAAGTAAATTTAATCTCTTTTAATTTAACTTTTACTTCTGTTCTTTGGCTGTGATTATCTTCATATTTGTAGCTTTGGTTGAGGGAATCTTACATTTTAATGGTATATGCTCATAGTACACCACGAAACTCTTGATCACTTACATTTTATCTATAATTCTATTAGTTATGCAAACCATGTATGCCAATGTATTTCCTTCGAAATTTTCATGTTATCATATACCTTGATCACGTTTCTTATTGTTTTATCGAAATGATATTTGAGAATATCATGATATTTTTTAAACTTGTGCCATGTTTCAATAGAAGCAAACTTGTCTTCTTATTTCTGTCTTTAATGCAATTAGGAGGACAGAAGATTAGATTTCAATGAAGCTATTAAACTTGAGATAGAACGCCTTCGGCTGAACCTTTCTGCTGCTGAAAGAGATAGAGCACTTTTATCCATAGGCATTGATCCTGCCAGTATAAACCCCAATATGCTACTTGAGGATTCGTACATGGGGATATTGCACAGGGTTGCTGGTGCCCTTGCTGTACTTGGGCAAGCTTCTGTAGAAGACAAAATTACAGCTTCAATTGGGCTTGGAATAGTTGAGGAGAACTCTGTTGATTTCTGGAACATTAACTCCATTGAGGCTAGGTGTTCTCTAGGTTCATGTCAAGTTCGGCATGAAACTGGGCAAGGTGTGGGGTTATCCCCGGCATCCTCTCCTTCTGTGGCCTCAGAATCCATCTTTGTCTGTTCAGAATGTGGTAAAAGAGTTTGTAAAGTGTGTTCTGCAGGAAAAGGAGCTCTTCTCCTTAGAGCTTTTAACTCAAAGGATGTGTCAGGCTACAATGGTCTAACTCAGGGTGGAGCAATTCCTGGATTTTCAATTGATACATCTTCTAATCGCTCAGTGTCACTTGATGGGGTTATCTGTAGAAGATGTTGCAACGAAGTTGTCCTTGATTCATTGATTTTGGACTATGTTAGGGTTTTGATCAGCGAGCGAAGAAAAACTCGTGTAGATGCTGCTGCAGAGAAAGCGCTGAATCACTTGTTTGGGTTGTCTTCAATAAATTCTATTCTTGAGAAGGATCAACCTTTAAATAGTCAAGGAACTGATGGGGTATTACAGAAGCTGACAGATGGAGAAGAATCACTTGCAGAGTTCCCATTTGCCAGCTTTCTACACCCGGTATTTGGATTTGCTTTTATTTTCCTTTCTCATATTGGTTTATGTAATATTACTGAATGCTATTTCTTCTTAGGGTGTTTTTTTTTTTTTTTTTTGAATTATTAATGTAGATAATATTATTTTATCCAACCTAATCACATAGTTACTATGCACTATAATAGCCTGAAATTAAACAAAGCCCGGCATAGTGGTAGCATACTTAAGGATTATTAATCTCTCCCTTGTAGGTAAAATTAAATAATATTAAGATAGGAGTATTAATTTTATTATATAATTAGGGGTATTTCCTAAAGTGCACTGGCCGAACTGCTGTGGCTGCTATTTAAACCAATAGTGCAAATTTTCCTACTCTGGGTAATATCATATTAATTGTGGTCTCTTATGAATATGGTATTAATACTGGTCAAATTTATAGTGTGGATTGGTGGATGATAAATCTTGTTTATTGCATTTATTGGTTGAAAATAGTGGATCGAGAATTTTATTACTAGTGTCTTTGAGGAAAAAATTACTCCTCTTATCTTTGGATTGCCAAAAAAATGAACTGGAGTGATGGATAAGGATGGGATATGTGGAGTATTTTGCCACACCATGTGGTTTTCAAAGGTTTTCCAATTCTCGTTGTCCTGCATTCCCATCTATAAACTTTGAGTCCTCTTCATTGTTCCCTCCTTTCAGTTTATTAGGTAAAGTAGGTTGTCATCACTTATTGTTTTAATCATTCCTAACTTATATACTAATTTGATGTTTGGAAGTCGCATATTCTTATGAGCCATTTCATCTTTTATGTATTGTTCATCTATTACAGCAATCAATGAGGATTAATCATATTTAATTCAAAATTATTGTTGCTGTATTGGAATGCTTTTCTGTGTGAATGTTAGCTTTTATCTTCTTTTATGTAGGTTGAGACTGCAGCAGGTTCTGCACCCTTACTATCATTGGTATCTCCCCTAAATTCTGGGGAAAAGGAATCATTTTGGAGAGCTCCCTCCACTGTGTCATCAGTGGAATTTGTTATGGTCCTTAGTGATACTTCTGATGTCTCAGGTGTTGTCCTGCTGGTTAGTCCATGTGGGTATTCAGCCTCTGATGCACCTACTGTAAGTGCGCTCCCAGCTATCTCTTAACTATTTATTGACTAGACTTGCAATGGGTAAACTTCTTACTGATTGGGTGTATATGTTTCGCAAGAAACCAAATTCTGGTTGAGATTTGTTTTACCTGCCATGTATGTTCAAACTTGTGATCTTCGTTCCTAGGCGCACAAGCTTTACTTTACCTGCATGGCTTGTTAATCTTAAGTGGACAGTTTTTGCTAAGCTATAAAACTTGGGCCCCGTGCAGCACCTATACATGGGCGTAATATTGCCATCTTGTTCATGTGAATTGGACAGTTGGTCTGCTTATTGGGCTATGTTTACTACTGCTGCACAGTAAACAGGATGAATATAACATCTGAAGTTACTGCCTTGTAATTTATCCTGAGGGGAGCAAACCTAGTGCTAAGAAAAAGAGCTAGAGTGGTAGTACAAGTTTACCTTTGTTGTTACATACCGGTACCAACCGATAAGTGATAGCTGAAACTCTTTATTTTCTTTGTTGGTATTTGTTAGTATTGTAGATTTTGGTGGCTATTCACTTCATATTGGAGTTGGGGTCTTTGCTGTTGTCCCCAACTTTACTCATTTTCATATCTGCTGTACCAAAATCTTCATAGAATTGCATTGAATATCGAAATTGTATCCTTCCATTTTTTGAACTTGGCATTGATCAGTTCTCTATGTCTGCAAGTTGATAATTGACATGCCTAGTGGTTACATTGTGAATCTTGAACTGTTCCTGTAATTTGTGTATTCAACAATCTTCACCAAACCTAATCTTGTATGCTAGCATCTGACAGTTTGTCTTCTCTCCTTTCCACAGCCCTTAGTGCTTCCAACTACTTAATTTGAAACTGCTGTATACCCTGTCTAAAACCGAAAATTGTGCCACTACCCACACCTGTTATGTATGCCATACTACATTTTTGTAAAAGCTCACCTGATATCTCTTAATAATGAAAAAGAAAACATTAAAACAAAATTATATTTGCGTAATTCTTTTGTACTTATTGTTGATTTGCAACTTACGTCGCTCAAGTTTGCCTGGCTGATTGGTTTTTTTCTGCTCTATGTACAGGTGCAAATATGGGTTAGCAATAAAATAGACAAGGACGAAAAGGTATGTACAGGGAAGTGGGATATGATGTCTCTGATTGCATCGTCTCCTGAGCTCTGTGGCCCTGAAAAGTCATTTAAAAACAATAAGCTACCCAGGCATGTGAAATTGTCATTCAGGAATACTATCCGTTGTCGCATCATCTGGATCACCCTCCGTCTTCCAAGAGTTGGATCTAATTCTGTCAACTTCGAAAAAGAATTTCACAATTTGTCAATGGATGAAAATCCTTTCTCACAATACAGCAGACGCTCTTCTTTTGGTGGGGAATTTGACAGCGATCCATGTCTTCATGCCAAAAGAATTTTAGTGGTAGGAAGAAGTGTGAGAAGAGACACAGGGCTAGCTCCGCAAGTTTCTGACCAAATAAATGTCAGAAACTGGTTGGAGAGACCTCCACAGCTGAACAGATTCAAGGTGAAGATTAATCTTACCAAACTACTCTTAATACAAGTTTACTTTACATTGTTTGTCTTTCGCTATTACTATGAAGTATTTACCTATTGAAATAAGTTATTTCAAATTCAGTGGATGAGAATCGCTTTTGTACTTTTCAGGTTCCTATTGAGGTTGAAAGGCCAATCGACAACGACCTTAGTTTGGAACAGTTTCTATCCCCAGCTTCACCTATGGTAGCTGGATTTCGTCTGGATGGTTTCAGTGCAGTGAAGCAGCGCGTTAACCATTCACCGTTCACGGCTGAAGATATATGGGGCACGAACCTTCTTCTTGAAGAGAGGTTCATATCTCCGGCAGTGTTGTATATCCAAGTGTCTGTCCTTCAGGTACTTGCTAAGATTCCTCTCTCTACTTATATTTTCAAAACTGTTTTCCCATTGTTTATGAAAATTTCTCCCTCTAAAAACTATCTCATCCAAAACCTATTTACTTCATTTCTATTCAAAATATCACATTCAATCCCTATTTTTATCTGATCAAAACGTCTGTTCTTTTTTTGATTATTTACTATTTCCAAACCTACCCGAAAACGCCAAAACATTCTCAAAGCATATCTGAACACACTTAGTTATCAAGATTTCTAGTTTGTGCTGTAGATATTAGGTGACTAAAGCTAGGAGTAGAAACTTTGATGAACCCTTCAAGAAAGTGATCAGCTCTAGGAATCGATGACTAAAAAAAGATTCCATCATGCTCCTAGAATCATCAGCTGTTGGATCCTTACAACTCTGACATTATTTCCCTTTCCACCATTTTTATTGTTCTACTTTACTTACTCTCGGGTTTTCACATTCGTTTGAAAATATGAATCTCTGAACAAAAGAACTATCTTAGGTTCTTATACTCTGATCTGACCTATTGACAGGAGTCCCACAAAATGGTGACAGTTGCTGAGTATCGGCTACCAGAAGTGAAGCCCGGGACAGCCATGTATTTTGACTTTCCTCGACAGATAAGCAGCAGCCGCATCAGCTTCAGACTTCTTGGAGACATAGCTGCATTCTCAGACGATCCGGCAGAACAAGATAGCTCGGAGAATAGAGGAGCTCATCTGTGGCCTGCAGGTTTATCTTTAGTTAACAGAATTAAGCTGTACTATTATGCTGATCCCTACGAACTCGGAAAATGGGCGAGCCTATCGGCTGTCTGATTCAAGGAAAAGATTTGATTTTGAACATTGTCTGTCTGTAATGGCGGTAATATTAAGTAAGGTATGCTTCCTGATTTCCTTCTTTATTTTTTTTTTTTTTCATTTTATTTGTGGATTTTTAACATTTCACCACATTTGTTGGGGATCATTTCATAAGCTCTTTAATAGGTTACCTATCCCTATCATACATATTTGTTTGTTGATTCTTCTTGTAGTTTCACGTGTTGTTGGACAATGATTTTTTGTAGTTATTACAAAGCTTTGGACTTGAGTATGATCAATATTAGTTATGTTATTGTGTTTCTGTTTCTGTTATGTTATTCGAAATTTGAAAATCCGAATTAAACCAAGCCGATATTTAAAATTTGATTCGGATTATTTAGATTTTTGAATTGGTTCGAATTGAATATTTTGTAAATTTTGAATTTTAGGATCCGTATACTAAAAATCAAAACCAATTCAAAATTCAAAATATAATATTTAAATATATATTATCACTATATCTTTTTAATATTTTAATAAAAATATAATATTTTAATTAAAATAAGAACTAAAAATGATTAATTATATATTTAATATACTTATTTCTTTTTATTATATATATATTAATACTCTCTCAGTCCCATAATATAAATTATTTATAGATTATGAACGGCAATGTAGACATAATAGGTCGGATGGAGGGAGTAGTATAAAACAATTATAAAAATATGAAATAAAATGTAAAATTTAAAAAAAAAATAACAAAAATAAAGAATTTCGGATTTTTCAGTTCAATTCGAGTTTTTTTTAGTTCCGATTGAGGTTATTTTGGATCTGTTCGAATTGATTTTTGCCAAAATTTCGGATTTTCGAATCGGTCCGAATTTGGCGAAATTCGAACCGAAAATTCGAATGCTCATCACCTAGTGTTGGATAATTTTATAATCTTTATTCTAAGAAATAATAATTAATTTGTTATTATTTTTTATATATTCTATTTTTGTCATTTTCTAAAATAAATTTTTCATAATATTTATTGTTTACCTATTTCATTTTAATATTAAATATTACTTCATCTGTGGCATATAAGGTGCAACACTTGATTTCATTAAATAAGTTTATATATATTTGAATGGTGTGATGATATAAAATGATATTTTGTGTCTAAGAACTTACATAAGTTAACCTAATGGAGTGAGTATATTTTAGATGTGATGATATTTTAAGGTAAAAAATTTAATAAAACAAAATTGAAAATCTGATTAAAGAGACATTTTCTTTTTAACTTAATAACTATAGGGTTTTTAAATAATGAGTAAGAGTATGCAGTCAGTCAGATTGAATATTGGATGAAAATCAAAAGATGGAAAATAAATTTGAACACTTTGAACATATAAAAGTGTGTTGAACAAAAATTGGATAAATGTGTACCACATACATATACTACTAACACACAAAAATCAAGCATTGTTATATGCTTTGAATTTCAAACAACTTAATATATAATACTTTTTCCGTCCACAAATTAATGTTCTGTTTTTCTATTTGAAATCTTAAAAAATGATTATCTTCTTATATATAAAATTTACTTTTTTACTCTTATTTTATTTTATTTTTTTTATATCTATACGCAAAATAAAGGGCTATTTTGTCAATTTACAACCTAAAAACTAATTACCTAAAAAAATATAAATATCACTCAGAACATTAAGAAAAATGGACGGAGGGAGGAGTAATAATAATAATAATAATTTAAAAAATAATGGTTTTAAAGTTATTCAATGTAAGGACAATAAGAAAAAGGGCAATGAATAAGACTTTTGTAATTAATTTGTGATGACTACTACCACCAAGTCTTTAAATTAGTTATAACGTTTTTTGTTGACCCAATTTGTACATCTAACTTAATCAAATTGTGTCTTCTTTTCTTTTCTTTCTAATTTTTTTTTTTTTTTTTTTTTTTTTTTTTTTTTTTTTAATGATGTGGGACCTGCAGCCGCTATATGGTTCGCCTAGTATGACTTTTCCGTCGGACCTGATTTGCAGGGTATTAAGTTCGGCTGGAGTTTATCCAGTGCGTATTTTCGGATAACAGCTGCGAATTTTCACATCATAGAAATATATATATATATATTTAAAATTGTGTCTTTTTTATTATTATGGAAAAGGTAGTGTAGTTACATTATGCATATCATATATCAATTAGAAAAATTTGTCATATGTATCATAAAAAATGTTTACCATCGTCAAGTGTAGAGTAGTAAATTATTGAACCAAATTACATCACCATATATATATATATATATATATATTAAAGATATAAAGAGATGTAGATATTATTTAATAACTTTGATTGCATTATTATAGGTCAAGAAATTGTACCCTCTTTTCTGCTACAATTATTTTGAAACAAAATCTATACTAATGAAGGGTGAGAATTTGGTATATTATTATTATTATTATAATTATTCCATGGATTAAAAGTGTATTTGGTTCATGATTTTTATTTTTTATTTTTTTGAATATTAATTTAGATGTGATAACGTTTTATATTCCCTCCGTCCAGTTAGAAAGTATACATGTTTCTATTTTGGGACGTTCAATTATTAATCATTTCATTAAATACCCTATTTTTTCTACAAATATCCCTACTTTACATCACATCATTACTTTTATACCAAAAAAGTAAAGGCAAAATTGTCATTTCACTACTTTTACCTACCCACTATAATTAAAATATTATTATTCCTTAATCTCCGAGCCAAAAGTAAATGTATACTTATTTTATGGACGGAGGGAGTATAATGTATTTAAAAAATCACCAAAAATTCAGGATGATCTATTGGGATGTAATAGGAATTAAAAAGTGCATTCTTTCCGTGTTTTAAGAAATTGCAAGAGTATGACTTGCCTATCGAACTTAGTTTGCAGGGTATTACGTTCGGAAGGAATTTACCCGGTGCGCACTTTTGGACAACAACAGCAGGTTCCTTATATATATATATATTTGCAAGAGCTTTACCTATAATTTACAAAACTCTATACAAATTTCTCATCTTTTAAAAAGTTATTGGAATGCTAGGGTGTTTTTATTTGATGATATATATATATATAATTAAATTTTCGGTATATATATTTTTTTAAATAATAATTTGAATGTGATGTTTTAAAAATAAATACATTATAATTTTTTTTTTTTTTTATGAAGAATTTGGAAGATTGCATAGCAAAAGAAACTAAAAATATATATCTAAAACTTTTTTGGGATTTTGATTTCAATAATTTTTACCGTACAACCATCAAAATTATTATAAAAATATATTATTTTTTTTCACAAATCATTAAATCGAGATGAACGACAATTGAATCTTCCATCGGCGTGTATGGGCTCCACATGTGGCTTCCGACTATGCCATTCGATGGTTAGTGTCGTCTTGACATCAAGAATTCAATAGCTGAAGAAACAAGGTGAAGAATAAGTTCGATAATTTCGATTATGGTTGTGATATGATATTGGATTTTAAAAGAAATTCTAAGTTATATATTGATAATAAAAGTATAACTTTATTGCAATTATGGTATAAAATACTATTTAAATAAAAATTCAAATTTATCACTCTATTTAAAATTAATTTCAAATAATAGTCCGTATCCATATAATGTTTAATACTCCATTCGTCCAATAATATCTATTTTTCTATTTTAATCCGTCTCATTACAAAGTATCTATTTTTTTTAGCAACGGTACTATCTACCGAACATTACAAATACCCTTACAACTTACAATATATTATACAAATGTCATTACCTTTATATCACACTATACTAATAAAGTTATTTTAGTCATTTCTATTTTATTCCTACTACATCTCAATATAATACTAATATTTTTAAAACTACTTGAAAAAATAAATGAATATATAGTTATGGGACTGAGGGAGTATAAAATATTATATAAAACAATTTCTATTATATTTTAAAATGAATTACAATAAAACATAAAAACATACTAAAGGTGTGTATAAGTATAGGCATTTGTATTTGTATTTGAATTTAAATAATATATTAAATTTATATTTATAATTTAAAAAATGTGAGAGTAGCATATTAAAAAGGTAACTATAAAGTGTATCTTCTGTTTGAGAAAAAAAAAAAAAAACATTCTTCTAAAATAATTAATATATCATATATTTTTATTAATTTTTTTATTATTAATATATTTTTTTATGCAATCACACAAAAAAATATCTTTTAAAACTATTTTACAAAATAAATATATTTTTAAAATACTTTTGTCTTCTAATAAAAATACATAAAATACCTCATATTTAATTTATTGTAACAAAATTTTTTATATTAAATTAAAATAGGCACAATAATATCGTTTTAGTTCAAATTGATGATTGATAATAAATCCACATATAATTACGTACATTTTATATAAATAAAAATACTAAAATATATTTTTTTGAATAAATAAATATTAAAAAAATTATCAAATTATTCATTTTATAATTTTTTAAAATTACATAATAATTTGCCTAAAAAACTATTTAATTTAAATTAGGTAATACTTCCTTGTCTCGGTCAAGATGACCCTTTACTTAAGGACAAAGGTATTTTAGGCAGTGTAAATTAGTAATTTATTAATAATAAATTATAATATTATTTTATATTTTTATATGAGTAGTGTTGTTGGTATTTTAAATATTTTCAGCACTATAAATTAATAAAATATATACAATATGGATATCATTTTGTAGAGAATAAAATTTTATATAATACAATTAAATACAAAATTAATTAATTTATTTATAATTAACTTAAAATTAATTTTATTAAAAATAAGAAGTTTTAAATATAGATAAAAATATTTATTTATTGATAAGATAGATAAAAATAAATGAATTTTGACTTTCGAATAAATCTGTATAAGAGATTAAAAATTTAATTAAATTAATTTATATTTATTAAACATATTTAAAATAAATAAATTTACTAAAAATAAAGATAAATATCTTTAATAAGACGGACAAAAATAAAATAAAATTGATCATCCGTCTCGAAAAAAGTATTTAAAAATATTAAAAGTTATGACAAACGGTTATCTATTCTAGAAAAAGAATTATATTTTTTTTTAAGACAAACTGCTGTCTAATTTAAAATATATAGCGGTTTAGGGTTTACGCGACCTTTTAACTTAATTTAGATATTATTATTATTATTATTATTATTTTAAAAAGGCAAGAAAAGTAAAAACGTGAGAGGCAGAGAAAAAATCAGCCGATGAGCTGTTTGACCATTGACTCAATAAAAAGTCATTAAAAGCCACCCCAAAAGGACCGGGACCCTCTCCCTTCCTCCCCACTCGCATTTCCCGCGCGTGCCGATCAAATCCTGCCATCCCTTCCCAATATATTCACCTGTTTTAGGTAAAATAAAATTTCAATAATAAGAAATATATTCTAGTCGTCCTATTTAATATGTCTATTAATTATTTTTATATTCGTTTTTCTACATAAATGATCTTTTTTTAATTTTAGAAATATAATTATATATTTTAAATATATTTAAAAATTAATGTTTTATAAATTTTTTATTTAAATAAAATTATTTAATTTTTTTTATTTTAATTTATAATTATTTTTGTTATATTATACTTTTTCCGTTCAACTTAAATTGTCTATTTTAAATTACACACAAAATTTTAGATACTGAATAATTAGTAAATAATAAAAAATATATTCCTAATAAAAATAATTATATATTAAAATTAAAATAATTAAATAATTTAATTAAAATAAAAAATTTTAAAATTTTAAAATTTAATTAAAATATATAATTATATTTAAAAAATAACAAATTATATGAATAAATATAAATAAAAATAAAGAACAAATTTTTGAGATGGAAAAATTATTTATTTTTATTAATATATTTTTTAATTATTCAGTGAGGATTGACAATCCTTGTACCGAGTCTCATCTCGAAAACGACGCCGTATTAGCCATTTTCGTGTATATATATATATATGTATATAATATTCCCCAAATTCGCCTAAAGTCTGAACGGCAAACAGCAAATTAAAATCAACGCAGAAATTTTTGAGAGAAAAAAATTAATAAAAGAAATCATGCATTGTGCTGTGGCCTCACTTCCCAGCTCTCCGATGTTCACGCCGTCGCCAAGAAATCTGTCGCCGATTTGCTGCAAGACGGCGACCTCACCTCCGCCTCCTCCCCCGGCCTCGCCGTCTTTGTTTGCGAATAATAATACTAAGCATATTAGGAAGCTGTTGAATCGAGGGGACGACGGCGATTTGGGGTCGTCGAAGGTGCCGCCGATGCTGAAGAGGAAGAGACCTATGCGGATTGATGTTCCGGTGGCGAGTGTAGGGTTTGAGGATGTGAAGGCGAAGTCGGATGTGGATAGTTCAAATTGGATGGAATTTGAAGGGGAGGGGTACTCGGTGTACTGTAAGAGGGGGAAGCGGCGGGGAGATATGGAGGACAGATACTCTGCCGCGGTTGGCCTTCAAGGGGATTCGAAACAGGTTCGTGTTTGGATTTTTGAGCCATTGATAAATCTGTGACTAGATGTGGTATTGTTTTCGCTTTATTGATCTACTTTAGTAGTTTGAATTTTGTTGCTGAATTGAAATTGCTGTTGGTAATCTGTATTTTCGAAAGTTTGAACTACTGAGCATTGATTGATTTGGTTGTTCTGAGACGGAAAATAAATCAATAACATTGCCGTAAATAGCTTGTGTGGGAGGGAACGAATCTGCAGTTGATCCTATTAATGAGAAGCAGTTGTTCCTGAACAAAATTGAAATTGAATGAGGATCCTTTGATTTGTGAATGGATTTGTCAAATTTACACCTGGTTCAGTTCAGTTCAATTTCGTTGTGTTCATCTGTGCTTGGGAGATTTCAGTATAGTATTAGCTCATGGATTAGCATTAAATTATGGTGACTGAAATCAGTTCTGATTTATCTACTGTCTTTTGTTATATCAAAATCTAAGATCTGCGTTAGTTATGATCCAGGCATTCTTTGCTGTATTCGACGGTCATGGAGGAGCGGGGGCTGCAGAATTTGCAGCAAAGAACTTGGAGAAGAACGTTATGAAAGAGGTGTCCAAGCAAAGTTCAGAGATCGCCAACGCCGTGAAGCAGGGGTACCTCACAACCGATTCAGATTTTCTGAAGGAAGATATCCAAGGCGGGACTTGCTGCGTTACTGCAGTGGTATGCAAAGGAGATCTAGCAGTCTCTAATGCTGGAGATTGCCGTGCCGTTATGAGCCGTGGAGGAGTTGCTGAGGCACTCACTGTGGATCATAGGCCATCTCTAGAAGATGAACGGGAGAGAATCGAGAGTCTGGTAAGCAAGAGCCAACAATAACTGTTACAACGACATGGAAAGAAATTCGACATGAGCTTTGAAATTCTCTTCTGTAGGGCGGTTATGTGGACTGCTGCCATGGCTTTTGGCGAGTGCACGGATCCCTTGCAGTATCACGAGCAATAGGAGATCGACATCTCAAACAGTGGGTGATTGCTGAACCGACCACCAAAGTTTTCAAGATTAGACCCGAGTGCGAGTTCCTAATCCTGGCATCCGATGGCCTATGGGACAATGTAATTTCGCAAACCCCAACTTCAATCTCTATATGCACGAGCATTCATCGTGCTAAACAGATTCCTCTTATAATCTCTTTGCAGGTTGGCAATCAGGAAGCAGTCGACGTTGTCCGATCGCACTGTGTAGACGTAGACAGGCCAGAGCCATTTTCTGCCTGCAAGAAACTCATGGATTTGGCACTAACAAGAGGATCCCTTGATGACATTAGTATTATGGTTATTCAATTAACTCAATTCATCTCATAACTTGCTTTTACTGGAATATCTTTAAAATCCTGTAAATGTTTTGTTGCCCGTTTTTCCTGATAGAATTAAAATAGCTTTTGCAAAATGATTTGGTAGCGCAGATACATAGGAGATATAATTGTACATTGTTTCGATCCTACAGGGTCGATTCTTGAGTTTTTAGCAAACCATAGCTTCCAATCCTGTCTATCTAATCCATTGTCTATCCATCTCCATTGCATATATATAGATATGGGATTTTGTTTGTTTGTGTTTTTTCTTTTGCAGATTTTCCATGTTCAAAGAAAGCGCTGCAATTTATGTGCTAGGCCTTCAGTTTGGTCAGGTATGGCAGGTGCTCCTTTGCTTGTTCTTCAATTTCTTTGGGGCTAAATTGAATGTCTATGTTCTTAGAAAAGATTTATATCTTGTGCTATTTATTAATTTTAGAAAAAAATTTGAATTTCAACATTTATGTTTCATGCATTATTCTATAGATTGGATGTATGCAAAATTTTCCAGAACAATTTTTAGTTTAGTTTATATTGGCTGCTGTGTTATGACCAGACTAAGATAAGATGGGAACACAATGGCTGACTTCTAAACTTTGTATGTTTAGATAAATGTGTTTTTTTTTTTTTTTATATTAACTATAAAGAATAGTGTCGATAATATAAAAAATAATATTATGTGTTAAATTGTTAGATTTTTGTGTATGAATATAATATTTTTTCATAATATTTATGGAGAATAATGTCATTTGAAATAGATGGGGGTGAACAAACAATGTTAAATATTCATGTTTTGCAATGTTGCATGTAATAGAAAATAGATAACTAATAGTATTGACATTACATTTTATCTACCTTGTGTGGGTTCCTCGTGCTCATGAGTTGGGATTCTTTTTATCTTTCTTCAATGAAGATGAAAAGAATTACTCATATTTTTAATAATATATTTTTTAAAATCATACATGTTAAAAGAATATAATTAAATATTTTAAAAACATTTAGTTATAATTTTATGGATAAATAGTTAATATCAAATAATTATTTTACTAAATATTATAATACAAATAGTTAATATATTGAGTAAGTTAATCATCAACTAATAGTACTTTTAAACATCTTAGTATCTAAAATTTCATTGTATTGAAACATAGTTGGATTGTTACGAAATAAGAAACAATCCTGTCTGTTCACTCAGTATTTTTTTTAGATGAATTGATATTTTGTGTGAAAGAGGAAACTGTATTGGTATTAAATTATTTTAATGAATAATGTATATATATTATATTAATGCGTGTGTATATTTGTATTTTTTAATAATATTTATAGAAAATTATTACATTTAAAAATAGAGTGAACAGACTCATTATATAGACCCATTTGATCATCACAATCACAAAAACAACAGGTTTGGAATAGAGGCAAAGTAACCAAAAAAATTTCAAGCTGAGGCCATATGATGCAGCCATCAAAATTCATTTTCATCAAAATTTGAGACAATTATCAATCAAATAAATCACATCATTTTTTTTCTATACTCCACCAAATACACTTTTTCTCCAAGACAAATATGTTTTCCCACACAATTTAACACCACAATACACAACATTAAATATTCAATGGCACGTAACTTGTCACAGTGAGATTATGGGTTCAAACTTCGACCTCTCCAGGTCCATCTGTCACACATGATTCGCGACTTGCCTTATCGGGCCTAGTTTGTAAGTATTAAGTTCGGCCGAGAATTTATCCAGTGCGCACTTTCGAATAGTGCTGCGGATTCCCACATTATCAAATATATATATATATATATATATTCAATGGCACATAGGAGGAAAAACAATATGAGTGTCATAAAGCTAAAAACAATTGTTTAATTTTTGAGTGTTTGGATAAACTTTATCATTTGAATAGGTGTATAAGGCATTGTGGTTGCATTACTTTTCTGGTAAGTCTCCAAAATAATATGTACAACACAAGCTAATAACAATGTGTTTTAAAACATAACAAACTTGAGAAATCAAAATTTGCCCTAAATTCCAAAGTAAACTGTGTTTAAAAGATAGAACAAAGTGTAACAAAGAAATGGACAAACTTATATCATAAAACTCTAGAAGAGTCAAGGCTAGAGGTCAATGAATCTTCAAGACCATTATACGTAACTTCACGAACCACAAATGTTGGTATGACCTCCAAAAATTGTGCCCAGGCACGGCTCGATCTTCACGAAAATTATCGGACCTATTTTTTGAGGTCCAAACACAATTTTTTTGTACCGTCCTCGAACGGGGGTTTTGAGTCGTTCTTATTTTTGCCACATTTACTTAAAATGACATAAAAAAAAAAAAAAGAAAGTGAAGAGTAATATCATTTTACACTTCAATCTTATTTATTTATTTTTATAAATGTTGATGTTGGGTTTCTCAGACGAATCGTCTTGTTATATGTCATTTTAAGTAAATGTGGCAAAACTATAGGCTCCACTGTACAACAAAACTATTTTTACTCTTTTTTATTATTATTATTATTATATTTACACAAACACCACTACAATTATCACTTTAATATACTTTTTCAACCCTTCATAAAATAAGAATAATTTTATACTCACCTTCAATTTAATACTATTATCGTTTAAATCTCGTGTCTATTTCTAATAAGTCATCTATTTTAGACGGATGAAGTATATAAAGCTAATACTTCTTCCATCCACTTGATAGATGTAATACCCTCAGAGTAGTGATATGAGTTGGGATGATGAAATATCCCAATGTTGAAGAAGAGGTTAAATGAATTGAATAAATTACTCAAATCAACAATGTGTACATTTTTTTTCGAAAATCTTACTGGAAGAATTTGTGTTGATAAGTGGGGGCTAGTCTACGACATGCTCGGCTTCGCGTGGCTTGCGGGCTGAAGTGTCGCAATAAGTATACATTTTTTGGTTGTCCAAACACAAAGGTTTTGTTCTTCCTGCTTTTTCTTCTCCTACGTTTTCCCAAAAATATTAATACATTACTACGCGCATTCACTATTTTTATATTTCATCCACTATTTCTTATACTTTATATAAAAAAAATTATTTTTTAACATTCTCACAAAACAAACACATATCTATTTTTTTTTAGTATATATGAACTTCACTATAAATTACAAATACTTTCACATTTATATTTATTTACATCAATATTTTATAGTAAGAGTAAAATATTTTTTATATACCAAAATTATTATTAATTATCATTAAAATATAGATATTATTAAACTTCTTAAAAGAAAAAAGTAAATATTTAGATCGTTTATTTTGTAATATAATTTGAATGCTTATTTATATATATGTATGTGAGAGGAGAAAAAGTAAACTATAACTATTCAATTTAGAAGATTCGATAATAGTTAAATAGTAACAAATGCATAAATACATTAGGGAACTAAATTAATTTCAAATGATTTTCTTAACCTCTTAAATATATATTTTTAAAAGTATTGTTCATTTCTATTTATTGTGGAGGTTTATTAATATTCATTTTAGTTATAATATTTAAACAAAAAATTAATACTCTTTCTTTCTAAATGAAATGTATTTTTTTTATTTAATTAAAAAATATTTTATTAATTAATAATTTTATTAGTAAAAATATCATATTTTGAATACTAAGAATGAAAATGAATGTATTTATTTTATTATTATTTTTTTATAAGATCTGAAAATTGTTAATTTGAATTTAGTATTAAAATAATTGTTATATAATATAATTAAAAACTAATATGAAGAATATAAAATCGAACCATCTAGAAAATATCGCTATACATTAATATCACGTCGATAGTTAATAATAATAATAATGAAAGGAATTACAAATTAGTTATTACATGATTACGGTTTTTTGAACGATAAAGAACATTCCTATGCAGAAAGAAAGGCTTTTTAGCTACATAACGTACATTTCTCGTTGTAGATTTTCGATCGTTGAGCGGAAGCAATCCCTCCACAAATTTGTGCAGATCTCTGCTGTGATTCTCTGTCTGTGCCGGAGAAAAATTTCGCCGTTGCTGCTGCGGGAGATCTCGGTGACGTTTGCTCAATCACGGTTGTAATTTCGGGTTATTTCTCGATTGGGCGGTTGCATTTCCAGATCAGGAGTTCCAATTTCCGGGCTTTGATTCGTCGCCAGTCATGGCGGCCGCGAACGCTCCGATCACCATGAAAGAAGCGCTAACGGTATGCGTGTGTTTTCCAGTCAGCTGAGTTTCCGATTTTGATTGCATTTCATAGGGAATTGAGTTGGAATGGACATGCACACTGCTGGGGATTGATTTTCGGATACTTGATTTGATGCGCTGGTATTGCTGGCCATTGAGGATTCTGTAGTTTTTGGTTTTGATTCGCCATTTTTATTTATTAATGATCGATGCGTTGGCGTGAGCGCCGTTGATTATTTTGTTTGATTGCAGCTGACTAGCATAGGGATCAATCAGCAGTTCATTACATTCACGAATGTGACCATGGAGTCTGAGAAGTATATTTGTGTACGTGAGACGGCGCCTCAGAACAGCGTGGTAATTATCGATATGAACATGCCAATGCAGCCTCTTAGGCGGCCTATCACTGCTGATTCTGCGTTGATGAATCCAAATTCTCGAATTTTAGCACTAAAAGGTGAATAATTTTTCGTGTAGCTTATTTATTTATTTATTTCCATTGCGATGAACATTTTAGAAAATTAGAGCTTCTGTTGATTCCTTTTCTGTGTTTGTGAATCCAAACTCTAGAACTTTAGCACTGGAAGGTGAATAAAAATTTCTATTGTAACTTATTTATCAAACACACTTCATTTCCGGTACATTTGATCGATGTAGAGAAACTCTGCCTGGGATGTTTATTCTTATCTTTGGAAAGCTTAAGCAAATTAGAGTTATTTGTGTGCAGACTATTGAATCCTTTTCATGAATTAGGAATTTGCAGAATTAGGGTAGGGTTCTTCCCAATTTTAGAATCTGTCCTCTTGGTACACGACTTTAAATCCCATGCAATCGGTGATGGGATAAATGCATAGTCTGAAAGTATATTGGATGCTGTCATGTATAGGATAAGTGCTGGAGACAAGCTCTTTTAGGACTTGGTGACCAGTAGGGAACTCCTCAAGTTGCTTAAACATGCGGATTCTTTTGCAGATTCCTCTTATGCCGTCGATTTATTCCATGAGAATTGTTGAATCCACCTTTTATTATTATAATTATTATATGTTTTTTTCCTTATCCCCTATCAAAGAGTGAGGTAGGATTTTGGGTCTAGATTTTGTATGCCAATAACATGAAGATGATAGTTATTTATAGTCTTGATGTGAAAGATTCCAGGTTTTATGTTGCTGATGTGTATATATCAAGAATTATTTTAGGATTTTTGTTTGACTGACAAAATGGTTGATATTTCTACATTTTTCATTGTCATGTTTCTTAAAATTTCCAGCCTGTGTTTGTCTGGCTGAATCTATTCAAGAGGGTTATGATTGGGTGGGGTGACAATATATTGTACATGTAGATTTTGCAACATCCTTGATGGGGCTGACGGAATAAATCCATTTATATTGTAATCGATCATGCATTTCTTTGCTTTTGGTACAAATACTGAAACTATCAGTTTCCTGGTTGAAGCTCAAATCCCTGGAACTGCACAAGATCACTTACAGATATTTAATATTGAGGCAAAAGCAAAACTGAAGTCGCATCAGATGCCTGAGCAGGCAAGATCATGTTACCTTTTGTGCTTGTTGATGCTTCATCTAGTAATATGTATGTGTATTTGTTTCCTTTTCCAGCTGCTAGAGTTATTTAAAGTTGGGTTCTCTGGATATTATACTTTTCACAGGTTGTGTTTTGGAAGTGGATTAGCCCTAAGATGTTGGGTTTAGTTACACAATCTTCAGTATATCACTGGTCAATTGAAGGTGAAACTTTATTTTGGTCCTCCTTGTGATTCTACATAATTGTTGTTTCCTTTTATCTGCTCTCGTTTGTATTGAAATATTTTCTCTTTATGGACAGGTGATTCTGCTCCTGTAAAGATGTTTGTCCGAACTGCCAATCTAGCAAACAACCAAATCATCAATTATAAATGTGATCCTTCTGAAAAGTGGTTGGTTCTGATTGGGATAGCTCCTGGTTCTCCTGAGGTGCGGGGTTTTGATTTCTGTATTATTATTATTTTTTTTTCATGATCACTTGAAATTGTTGGGAAATTTGTTGGAGTTATCTAATCGAACATAGTAGCATTATAAAAGAAATACTTATGCCTTGTTTGTGTTCTTTCCTATTGAGATGCCGGGCTAAAGTTAACGGCTTGCATTTTTCATACTTTTATTTACTGTAAATTTCTGTTGTAACAGAAATAGATGGTTAAAATGTTGTTTCATCTATTAATGTGGACTCTAGAAACTTGTAGCAAATAAAATAACAACAAAGATTTAACCTCTACATGTAAAAAAAGATGGATACGTTTACAACAGAAGATGAATTCATATTCTTGTAACGCTTATATATTCAGTGCAGAATATCTAAAACATACCTTATTTCCCATATACCTTTTGCTTTCCCTCATAATAAAAATGCCAACCGGACTGCCATTTATTTATTTATTATTAAATTATTATTATTTTGAGGGTGGGGAGGCGTTACAAGAAAAAATGTCGTTATTTGACGAATCTTGTTTTATGATTTTCTCATATTGTTGAACAGCAATCACTGACATGGTCAATATGCTATAATTATCAATTGCTTTGAAGGCTCTGCATATCCATTTTATTTTGTTTGAATAAGTTTTATAATCTATTTTCAAAATTTACAGTTTCATTGAAGGCACTATGATAAATTTAATCAGCTTTTGGACAAAGTTGTAATCTAGGTTTATTTTGTGCTATATCATACATTACTAGTTTGATTTGATTTTGATAGTTGTCTTTTATCTGGAATATTTTTTTCGCCCACCTGATATACCACAATGCTTATATTGCTTGGTCTTATTTGCTTCTTAAAGTTATTTTCTTGCTGTATTTGGAATTCTTCGATAAGTTCTTTTTTCCGCTTTGCTATATTTAATGAGCTATTTATGTAAAATCTATTCAGCACATTGTTGTATCTTGAAGTGGATCAACATATGCAATGGTTTGTTTTGCTGCACTGACTCAACATATATACTATATTATCCATCCATTTCTTCATTTATAGGTTTTCTTGACAACTAATTTACTGAGATGAATTCTTTTTTTTAGCGGCCACAACTTGTCAAAGGCAATATGCAGCTGTTTTCTGTGGATCAACAACGAAGTCAAGCTCTTGAAGCACATGCTGCATCATTTGCATCTTTAAGAGTAAGGAGCTTTTTATATAAATTTGTTATGAACTGATTCCTTAGATTTCTTATTATTTTTCATTGTGTGTATATGACCAGGTGCCTGGGAATGATAAAGACTCAATTCTAATTTCTTTTGCCACAAAGACTTCTAATGCTGGTCAAATAATGTCTAAGTTGCACGTGATTGAACTTGGTGCTCAGCCAGGTGGATAAATTTTCCATTGTATCCACCTCTATGATAGTGTTCTAGCGCCCTTGATTGCATATTGGGCTTACATAAATGACAATGTTTTCTGATTTGTGGCAACCCGTTTCAGGGAAACCATCATTTACCAAAAAGCAAGCAGATCTATTCTTCCCTCCAGATTTTGCTGATGACTTTCCTGTAGCAATGCAGGTTTATAATCTTGGCTTACTTTATATTTGCATATCAGTTTCATTTAGATGGTTCTTATTGTTCCTGTGTTCCATGCACTTATGCATTTGTATTTGATGCTGGAGCTATCCAGCTTTTCTGTTTCATTATTAGTCCTTATTGATTATTTTTGCAGATATCCCATAAGTATGGTCTTATATATGTGATTACAAAGCTTGGCCTGTTGTTTGTATATGATCTGGAAACTGCTGCAGCTGTTTACAGAAACAGAATCAGTCCAGATCCCATATTTCTGACATCAGAAGCTTCCTCTGTTGGAGGCTTCTATGCAGTTAATAGGCGTGGGCAGGTTCTACTTGCTACCGTGAATGAAGCAACTGTCATTCCTTTCATCAGTGGCCAAGTATGATTATCTACATTAGTGTATATTAATCAAGGAATGTTGTTAAAATAACCGTGTTCTTTAACTCGTTGATTTCAGTTAAATAATCTGGAACTTGCTGTCAATCTTGCCAAAAGGGGAAATCTTCCTGGTGCAGAGAACTTGGTAAGTGGCTATACCATTTAGACAAGAGACTTTTGGGACTTTTGAAAAATTTTAGATTAGTAAAAAGTTAGTATTTAATGTGATGTTTTGTGAGAGAAGAAATATATTTGATGTGATGTTTTGTGAGAGAAGAAATATATTTGATATGATGTTTTTAAAAAAGTTGAATAGTCCTAAAATTCCAAATGTGTTGTGTAAACAAAGCAACTAGTACTTTTGGCCCCCTCCATTTTTGAGATCTCTATGGTATACAGCTATAGGTTAAATTCTTAAGTAATGTTTGTAGAGTGAAGATAGGATTTCATATTCTTTTTATATAGTTATCTTGGGCTAGGATTGCTATATATGATTACTATTTTTATTTCTAAGAGCTGGAATCTATTTAAGAACTGGTAGCAACTATCTTCATTGTTATCGAGTTGAATAAACCATATGCCAATACTTTACATTTCTCTCATGTTTGCATTAAAAATTACATTGAATAGCTATATGACGCTTCTACTGTGCTATCTTTGTTTTAAAAATTATTTTTTGTCAAAGGTTTTTAGTGGTATTGACAATCCTTATATCTGTTTTTCTCAGGTTGTTCAACGTTTCCAAGAATTGTTTGCTCAGACAAAGTACAAAGAGGCTGCTGAGCTTGCTGCAGAATCTCCCCAAGGCATCCTTCGGACTCGTGAGACTGTTACCAAATTTCAGGTGATTTTTGTTAGCGATCTATATTTTACTATAGGCACCAGTTTCCTTGAACTTATTTTCAACTCCACCGTGATTAGAATCTTCCGCATGTTTTTGCTTATTTGTAACTCATTGATTTGTGTTTTCAGAGCGTTCCTGTACAAGCTGGGCAGACACCACCATTACTGCAATACTTTGGAACACTATTGACTAAAGGAAAGCTCAATGCATTTGAGTCTCTGGAGCTATCCCGTCTTGTGGTTAACCAGAATAAGAAGAATCTATTGGAGAATTGGTTGGCTGAAGATAAACTTGAATGTAGTGAGGATCTTGGAGACCTTGTGAAGGTTAAATGTTTTTCTATAAGTTCACTCTATCCAGTCTTTCAATGATTTCTTAATCCATGTTAATTTTCCAATTATATTACCTAACATTTCCCTATATCCATCTGCAGACCGTTGATAATGACCTTGCGCTGAAGATATATATAAAAGCTAGAGCTACACCAAAAGTTGTTGCAGCTTTCGCTGAGCGTAGGGAGTTTGACAAAATTTTGATATATTCAAAGCAGGTCACTGGTGTGATAATGAATGACAAAACTTCTTGTTTTCTTTTCTTTATTTACTTAATGTGAGTGTTCCAGAATATATTTTCCTATTGGTTATTATTGATATCATATATAATGTTATCTTCAAACAGGTTGGTTATACCCCTGATTATCTGTTCCTTTTGCAAACAATTCTTCGAACAGATCCCCAGGTATGCTTGTATTACTTAAGACAACTTCTGGAATATTGACTATATAAGGCATGCTTAACTTTATTATTATTATTATGATAGCAGGAATTTAAGATTTCTGAGTTTGTTGTTACTGTATTGTTTCTCCAGGGAGCTGTTAATTTTGCATTAATGATGTCACAAATGGAGGGTGGCTGTCCTGTTGACTACAACACAATTACTGATCTGTTTCTTCAGGTGCAGCTTAAAGTTTTTGCTTGTTTGACACTAAAATTTCAGCCCTGAAATGTCATCCCTTCACTATTCTCAGTTCTACCAGAAGCTTGCTTCTATCTGCACAATTTTACTTCAAGTTGTGGTTTTTTATATATATATATAATTCTGTATGTTTGATGCTTTTTTGGCTGCATCAGAGGAATATGATTCGTGAAGCAACAGCATTTTTGTTGGATGTTCTGAAACCAAATTTTCCTGAGCATGCTTTCCTGCAAACTAAGGTCAATTCAATTTTCTTGAATAAGGTCTCTGTTGTGGATTCAATTTCATTTTTCAGTCATGATGATGTCTTCCTTTCTTTCCAATTAAGGTTCTGGAAATAAACCTTGTGACCTTTCCAAATGTTGCTGATGCTATTTTGGCAAATGGGATGTTCAGTCACTATGACAGACCACGAATTGGACAACTCTGTGAAAAAGCTGGTCTTTTCATCCGAGCACTTCAGGTTTGAATGTCTGCTCAACATTCAAAAGCTCTGCAAAACAAGCAAGGTGTGATACTCATGCATCCTAAGAGAATCTATTGATGCTTGCAGCATTACACTGAATTGCCTGATGTCAAACGTGTCATTGTCAATACTCATGCCATTGAGCCACAGGTTATCATACTTCTAGTTTCAGTGTGGTTTTTCCTTCAAATTATTGTTTGAGTGCTTAATAATTAGTCAACACAGGCACTTGTGGAGTTCTTTGGGACGCTTTCCAAGGAATGGGCATTGGAGTGTATGAAGGATCTTTTGCTGGTCAATTTAAGAGGAAACCTTCAGATAATTGTTCAGGTTGAACTTTTGTTTAATGTTATTGTAAAATTTGTATCATGCGATATTATGGATATAATGCCATCATAGGAGGCTGTCCCAAGGATCGTCTTTCTAGGAATCATGTACTTGAAATATGGTATATATTTGCTGGGGGTAATGACAGTTGGTTTTAAGTGGTGTTATGCACTAATTTGTCTTATGTAGGTTGCCAAAGAATACTGTGAACAACTGGGAGTTGATGAATGCATTAAGCTCTTTGAAAAGTTTAAATCATATGAAGGATTATATTTCTTCTTGGGATCGTACTTGAGCTTGAGGTAATCTTGGAAAACCTGGTCCAGCAGTTTTTGGCAACCTGTTTCATCCATGACTTGTTAGTTTGTGTAATAATTATTGATGTCTGGCAGTGAGGATCCTGAAATTCACTTCAAGTACATTGAGGCAGCTGCCAAGACTGGACAAATTAAAGAGGTTGAGCGTGTGACAAGAGAGTCCGATGTCTATGATCCTGAAAAGACTAAGAACTTACTAATGGAAGCGAAACTTCCCGATGCTCGGCCATTAATCAATGTGTGCGACCGCTTTGGTTTTGTGCCTGATCTCACTCATTACTTGTACTCAAACAACATGCTTCGTTACATTGAAGGTTATGTTCAAAAGGTAAGAATCTCTTCCAGGCGCAGGCTCTTCTTTTATAAATTTCCATTGGCTTAAAATAATTTTTCTGCAGAGAAATTGATGTTTACTTTCTCTGAGAATAGGTCAACCCAGGAAATGCTCCATTGGTTGTAGGGCAACTCTTAGATGATGAGTGTCCTGAAGACTTTATCAAGGGTCTTATCCTTTCTGTCCGTTCTCTGCTTCCAGTTGAGCCCCTGGTTGCGGAATGTGAGAAAAGGTACCATTCTATTCTCCTGTTACTTTGTTTGGAGCTGTCTTTTGGATGATATGCTTATGCCTGATCTTTCGGCATGCAGGAATCGTCTTCGCTTGCTTACTCAGTTCTTGGAGCATCTTGTAAATGAAGGTAGCCAAGATGTGCATGTGCACAATGCGTTGGGTAAAGTCGTAATTGACAGCAACAACAATCCAGAGCACTTCCTCACAACTAATCCATACTATGATTCACGAGTTGTGGGTAAATATTGCGAGAAGCGTGATCCGACCCTTGCTGTCATTGCATATCGGAGAGGGCAATGTGATGATGAGCTAATTAATGTTACAAATAAGAACTCATTGTTCAAGCTGCAATCTAGGTTTGTTAATGTTTTACATTAATTCCTGGTTTCATCCTTTCCCTTTTTCTTTTTTTTTTTTTTTTTTTCTAGATGTTGACACACTTCCTTTTTTCAGGTATGTTGTTGAAAGAATGGATGCAGATCTCTGGGCAAAAGTTCTTGATCCTGAAAACGAATTCAGAAGACTGCTGATTGATCAAGTTGTATCTACTGCCTTGCCCGAAAGCAAAAGCCCAGAGCAAGTTTCTGCTGCTGTTAAGGCTTTCATGACGGCTGATCTTCCTCATGAACTAATTGAGTTACTTGAAAAAATTGTTCTTCAAAATTCTGCTTTCACTGGAAACTTTAACCTGCAGAATTTACTTATCCTGACTGCAATAAAGGCTGACCCATCAAGGGTTATAGACTATGTTAATAGACTTGATAATTTTGATGGCCCAGCTGTTGGAGAAGTGGCTGTGGAAGCTCAATTATATGAAGAAGCTTTTTCTATATTCAAGAAGTTTAATTTGAATGTCCAGGCAGTCGACGTGTTGCTGGATAATATTCGAGATATTAACCGAGCTGTTGAATTTGCTTTCCGGGTTGAGGAAGATGCTGTTTGGAGTCACGTTGCCAAAGCTCAACTTCGGGAAGGAATGGTCAGCGATGCAATTGAATCATTTATTCGTGCTGACGATGACACTGAATTCCTGGAAGTAATCAAAGCTGCTGAGGATGCTGATGTTTATCATGACTTGGTGAAGTATCTTCTCATGGTTAGGGAGAAAACGAAGGAGCCGAAAGTGGACAGTGAGCTCATTTATGCATATGCCAAAATTGATAGGCTGGATGAAATTGAAGAATTTATTCTCATGCCAAATGTTGCAAATCTTCCTCATGTTGGCGATCGCCTGTATGATGAAGCTTTATATGAAGCAGCAAAGATTATTTTTGCTTTTATTTCTAACTGGGGCAAGTTGGCAATTACCCTAGTGAAGTTGAATCAATTCCAAGGTGCTGTTGATGCAGCGCGGAAAGCTAATAGTGCAAAGACATGGAAGGAAGTCTGCTTTGCCTGTGTGGATGCGGAGGAGTTCCGATTGGCTCAGATATGTGGTCTCAACATTATTATACAGGTACTATTAGATCTTCAGAGCTTCCTTACTGTAGAGGATTCATTTTATATAATTGACTTTCCAATAGTTAATAACATAACCCAGAGATATTTGAACTTCTATTTATATTCTTACAGGTGGATGACCTGGAAGAAGTCAGTGAATTTTATCAGAACAGGGGGTGCTTTAAGGAGCTTATATCTCTTATGGAGAGTGGTCTAGGGTTGGAACGTGCACATATGGGCATATTTACAGAGCTGGGTGTCCTTTATGCTAGATACCGTCATGAAAAGCTAATGGAGCACATCAAATTGTTCTCTACTCGTCTCAACATTCCAAAGCTGATACGAGCATGTGACGAACAGCAGCACTGGAAAGAACTTACCTACTTGTATATTCAGTACGATGAGTTTGATAATGCAGCTACAACTGTCATGAATCACTCCCCCGAAGCCTGGGATCATATGCAATTCAAGGATATTATTGTCAAAGTCGCAAATGTTGAGCTATACTATAAAGCTGTGCACTTCTATTTGCAAGAACACCCTGACCTCATCAATGATGTTCTGAATGTTCTTGCTTTTCGTTTGGATCATGTCCGTGTTGTGGACATAATGAGAAAGGTTTTAACCCTTTTTGCTTGTTTTTGTTTCGTTCTTTTCATCTTTTGTATTTCACAGCTCTGTGGTTTTGAGTAGTAGCTTTAACATCTGAAACGTCTTGATGGTATCCATCCAGGCGGGCCATTTGCGACTTATTAAGCCATATATGGTAGCCGTACAGAGTAATAATGTCTCAGCAGTAAATGAAGCTTTGAACGAGATCTATGTAGAGGAGGAGGACTATGACAGACTACGAGAATCAATTGATTTGCATGATAGCTTTGATCAGATTGGCCTTGCCCAGAAGGTAAATTATAGTTTGAATGTGCGGCTATTTATTTATTTTTTCGTATCAAAATTATATATTTATACCTTGTTTGGTGTATGTACAGATTGAAAAGCATGAGCTTCTTGAGATGAGGCGTGTTGCAGCCTACATTTACAAGAAGGCAGGCAAATGGAAGCAATCAATTGCATTGTCAAAGAAAGATGGTGTGTACAAAGATGCTATGGAGACGGCTTCGCAATCTGGTGATCGCGAAGTTTCTGAGGAGTTGCTAGTTTACTTCATTGAACAGGTATGATAAATTAAAACTTTATTAGATTATATATCCCAAAATATTGGATTCTCTGTTTTGGTTGGTTTCATAAGGTTCAGACATTGCTTTGTTGTGAATGATACAAACGATTTTTATTTAAAACCACTTTCTTTATGTTTTTGCTGTCTTTTATGTTGCTTTAGGGAAAGAAGGAATGCTTTGCGTCATGCCTCTTTGTTTGCTATGATTTGATTCGGCCTGATGTCGCACTTGAACTTGCCTGGCTGAACAACATGATCGACTTTGCCTTCCCGTATTTGCTACAGGTAATCACCACACACAACAGTTTTATAACTACATGAATTGCACATAATTCTTGATTTATCCTCTTTCTCAGTTTATGCGAGAATACGCTAGTAAAGTCGACGAGTTAATTAAGGACAAGATCGAGGCAAGAAATCAAGAGAAAGCTAAGGAGAATGAGGAGAAAGACATAGCTAAGCAGCAGGTATCTTATGACTGCAATCTGATTTAGCAGCCGCATTGGTGTAGGAACTTTAGCTCAGGCTCATATCTTGCATACGTGAAAACATATTCAATGCAGAACATGTACGCCCAGTTGCTTCCTCTTGCTTTACCCGCACCATCAATGGCGGCTCCTGGAATGGGTGGTGCCGGATTCAGCGCAGGACCCCCGCACATGGGAATGGGCATGCCTCCAATGTCGCAATTCGGAATGCCACCCATGGGACCCTATTAGCATGTCAAGATTCTTGGCATTCGACGCTGTTCCTTGTTGCAATGAGGACAAAGACCACAACAATTTCCGCAAGTTTCTTTGTTGTTTTTGTTCGACTTTCAGGGAGGTCTGGAGGTGAGGAAGGTTTAAGGTTTGATGATATTTGGGGAATAATGGTGTGCTTTCTTTTAGTGTCTCTGCTAAATCTTTGATGAAGAAGGTGTGGATATGTGTTCATTTTTGTAGCATTCTTTGGGTAGTTTGGAGTCATTTTTGCAGCGTTAGTTAGGCTGATATAACTTGACATTATTTATTTATTTTTGTTGTTTATTATTATTACTATTATTTTATTTTTTAAAAAATTAGTTGGCCAAATGATAATAAAGAATTAGTGAGGCTCATTATTGGGTTTGGGTTTGAGTTGTATATTGCTTCGTTCCAAATTGTATTGTTTGTTCATTTTTGTCAAATATTCTTCTTTCATTATATAATTAGATATTCTTACCTTTGGGATTGCGAATAGGTTTGAAGGGTTTGATGGACAGTGATTGATAGATAATAATTATACTTTATTAAATAAATTGAATTTTTTATTAACAAAATATTATCTTAGTTTATAATATATTATTTTTAATTATAAATATATTATTAAAAAAGAAAAAAAAAACATATTTTACAAAATGAAATCCTTTTTTCTCCCTTCTTATTTTTCTTCTACTTTGTTTTTATCTTTCCTTAACTCTTTTTTACAGCATCCCCTCCCACCATCTTCTTATTTGTATTTCTTTTTCTTTCCTTCTTTCTCTAATTTTATTCTTTCTCCCTTTCCATCGTTCTTTTTACCGAAAATTGAAAAAAAATCAAAATTACCCGAGATAAACTCTTATTTCCGAAAAAACCGTATAAATTTCATTGAGAATTAAACCGCCAAAAGAATCCTTGTAGATCAAGCGGTCAGATATACCTGACTTGAGGGTTGAGTTTTATATATATATATAAATATATAATCAAGATTATATTTCACCACTATACTGAAAAATTTACTCTTTTTATTTTTGGGTCATTTTCTTATATATATATATGTATGTATCTTTTGTGTGTGTATTATTTAGACCGACAGACAGTCAGCATTGCAAGAATTCACTCACTGCAAGAGATCAATGCAATATGGATAAAGTTCTTACAGTGTTATACATTCTTCTGCTGATTTTGATAACTTTTTTGAGTGAGATTTTCTTTTTTTTTTTTTAATTTAATTATATTTTTAGAATGCCTAATAAAACAGAGTTGGTGGGACAAAGCTCTATCTCTATAGCTAGCTAGCTTTTATTATTATTTTAATTTTTTTTTTATGACGTGGGAATCTGCAACCGCTACTTGGAAGTGTGCACTGGGTAAACTTTCGATTGAGTCTAATATTCTACAAATCAGGCCGATGAAAAAGTCACCCTAGACGAACTATGTGTACTGAAAAATTATTATTATTATTATTATTATTATTATTATTTTATTTGTAGAAATGAAAGGGAGAGTGTGTACTGGAAAATTGTTAATTGATGCATGTCCCACCAATCCCAATGCTGATACTGTCAGTAATTTGCACAATATTTCAGAGAGATAAGACTGTTGAAAATTGTGACATAAGATGCTTTTCTTCTTCTTTTCTTAAATAATTATTTATTTATTTATTTTCATTTTCAAAACGCTGCTGTACATCTGACAAACTCAATTAGAGTACGTGTCTTCTTGTAGTAAACATATAAGTTGTATTCTTTTTTTAGTTTTTATACAAGTTTTTACTCCATCCGTCCCAATATAATAATCTTATTTACTATTTTTGTCCGTTCTAACATAATAGTCTTATTTCCATAAATAACCATATCGCCATAAAACTACCCTTACTTTTTCATTTTTATTATACAATTGCCACTAATTTTTACTCTAATACACTCACAAGGGCAAAAACGTCTTTCATCCATATTTTTTACCAACTATCCATGTAATATCACTATTCCTTAAATCTCATGTCCAACCCAATTAAGACTATATGGGACAGAGGGAGTATTATTTATTTATTTTTGCTCAAAAATATCAAATCAAACAATTATTTTTCTTTAATACTCCCTCCATCCCAATACAATAATCCTGTGTACCATTTTTGTCCGTCCTAAAACAATAGTCTCATTTCCATAAATAATCATATAACTATAAAACTACTCTTACTTTTTTATTATTATTATACAATTGCCACTACTTTTTACACTAATACACGGGCAAAAAAGTCTTTTCTCCGTACCTTTTACCCACTACTAATATAAAATTAATATTTCTTAAATCTCGTGCCAACCACAATCCCGACTATAGTTTTGGGACGGAGGGAGTATTATACTACAAATTTATTTTATATTCAAAATATCATATAATATCTATTTATATAATATCAAATAACAATTCAAATTCAATTTTTTACTATTCGAAAATTTAAACCCACAAACAAACACATCCATAATAATATTTCAGGATTAATTGTTTTTAAGATATATTATTTGGGAAGTTTTTTTTTTTTTTTTGTATCTTATAAAATAATATAATATGTTTTTATAAGTACCTAACAAAAAATTGAAAAAAAACTTCAAAATCTATATATTGTCCAATTTAAATTTTTTGCAACATCAATTATATTTTTCCTAATAATATTATATGCAATTCAACACACCTCTTTTGCCACCATCAACCCTCTTTACCAATGGTTAGAGATCGAAATGACGACTGATAACCTAAAAGTTTAAACTAATAGAAATATGAATGAGATATATACGAAACTTACATGTAGATATATATCGGATAGAGACAGTATGACTAAAATTCGAGATCCATGACTCTGATACCATATCATAATATTTGTGAAATTGAAATTGTATATTAGATAATAGGGTCACAATATGCATACATATCAGAGTATATATACGACCGTTAATAGATTATGTACAATATATACGAACACCAACAAACCTCTCCAAAATTTAGATAAATAAGTTTTATCAAACCGACTTTAATATATAACCATATATATATATTTATAAATATTTTTTGCAAAATAAAAGATTAAATTGTTAGTTGATTTTCTCAAATAACTATTCTTGAAAATATATAAAATAAATTAAAACTATAGTGTTCGCTTTGCATAGTACTAGTAAAAGAGAGAATCGTATCATATTAGTAAGAGATAATTTGAGGTGTAGAATGAGCCTGTGATTGTAAGATCATAAATTCAAACGGAATTATTTAGAACATATTCGAATAAATAGCCTTTGTAAATTTCCACGCCATCAATTCAATTCAATCAACCCTCCTACTTGTTTAAATCAAATCTTTTAAATATATTGTGTTTGTTTGGGAAACTTTCCCAAACTTCCGCTATTCATTCAAAATTTTTCTTAAAAAAAAATCAAATTAAACACTTATTTTTTATTTTTTATATTATATTAAAAAATCAATTTTATATTCAAAACATCACATCGACATCTATTTATATTACATAATACAATTATTCAAATTCAAATATTTTACTATTCAAATCTCACCTCAAAATCCAAACCCCGTAAGAAGTATTAGTACTAGTACTATTACAACCTCGTTCTGTCCAAATCCAACTGAAAGATCCTCTAATTGATTAACAACACATACACACATATATATATATATATAGATACATATATCTATATCTATATCCATTCATTATATTGATTCTTCATTCTTGCATGGCCTTGAGATGACTGCAAGATAAGTCCAATAATCAATTATTATCAATAGTCTGCCATAATTCCCACATCTGACCAATTGGGAAAAGTTACAATACATCACACCAATCACCATCTTCATTTTCAGATCACACAACACCTCTTAATTCCCACTTATATATATATATATATCTATCTATCTATATCTATATCTCGTATCCACACAAAAACCATCTATCATATATCATCACAAAACACTTTTCTACAATTCTTTCTTAGCTTCTTTCTCTGTGTCTTTTTTTTTAAAAATTTTTGGGATTCAAGATTGCAGCACATTCCTAATTTCTTTGATCTACTTATTTAATTATTAATTTTTTATCTATGGATTATGGCTATTGGCCTCATCAGGACAGCTCTTCCTTAATGGTGCCATGGCTTAATTCCGGCGAGGATAGGGCGGCGGCGACGACGGCGGCTTCTAGAAGCCATAGCGAAGCCGAGAAACGACGAAGGGATCGGATCAATTCGCAGCTTTCGACACTCAGGAAACTCATCCCTAAGTCTGAGAAGGTATATATGTGTATGATATATAAATTAATTTAATTTGTTACATTAATTCCAGTTTATTTGTGTCTTTATGCATGTAGCTGAATTTGCTGATCTTAATTGACACATTTTAGTTTGATTTACAATTTACTCATTTATTTATATTTATTTTCAAGAATCTGTAAATTTTGGGTAATTGCAAATATTGTTTGATTCAATTTGATTGTGTCAAGATTTGCAGTTTCATCACTTGCGTTAGTCCAACACGTCTCCTTAATTATCTTAGCAAGTGGGGCTTTATTATTATTATTATTATTATTATTATTATTATAGTGAAACATTTCATGTGTGAAAATTATAGTGAAGAATAATTATGATAAAGGGGATTTGAAATCAAATCTCAAGTTTGTTCTATTTGAATTATTTTTTTATTTATTTTTGTTCACACTGTACCTATCTTTATATATATATATATATATTATAATTTTTTTAAAAAGATCACATCCAATGTTTATCTTCTGTACAAAAATCACATTCAGCAAACTACTTTGTCTATAAAATATTAAAACTCAAAATACAAAAAATGCATACAAATCATCAAAAGGGCACTCTTAATTTACTTTATAATGCATATTGCTCATGGCTAAATATATATATATATATATATGTGTGTGTGTGTGTTAAAAAGGTATATAAAGTGTTGTTTTAATATATATATATATATGTGTGTGCCGAAATGATTAATAAATATTAAGATTGATAATATTTCATATATATATATATTTATTTATTTTTGTTGGCTTTTGAAAAGGGATGAAATATATCCTAGACTATAGTATTAATGGTATCTTTGAGGATGGAAAATGAAGAAGAGAGAGAGAGAGAGAAGGAGTCATGGTTGGCATGTGATCCTCATAAATAGCCCATCAATATCAAATGTCTATTTCGTGATCATATGTAAAATGCAACCTTTATTTTATTGCTCCAAAATCAGTCTGGCCCATTTCATTATTATCTTTTGTCCCTACCCACAAATAAAAGGTCCAAAAAGTTTGTTAGGCTGCTTAGAATTTTTTGCATATACAATGCATCATTATACATATATATATATATATAGAGAGAGAGAGAGAGAGAGAGAGAGAGAGGGAGGGACAGGGAGAGATGTGTGGATACTTGCTAAGGAGGTAAATTTTCAGTAGATTTCGTACATATTTAACATAAACTTGTTAAAAAATTTATATTGTGTTCCAACATATTTATTTTCTAACATCACCTTTAGTTTTCTCTCTCTCTCTCTCTCTCTCTCTCTCTCTCTCTCTCTATATATATATATATATATATTTAACTACTTGGGGACATACTATCTTAAGATATTTAGGGTTTATATCAGCAAACCCTAATACTTCTTACATTATGCAGACGTGGCAGCCCTATCAGATACATTGAGAGAGAGAGAGAGAGAGAGAGAGAGAGAGAACGAATCAATCTTAATTTATTTTCTGAAATATTTAGGGGTTTAAAATTTTCATTTGGATTGGAAACATTTATTTAGGGTTTGCATTTAAAAATATATATATATATATATTGGATAATGTTTTGAAATGTATTTTTTTAAAGAAACACATATATAGTCGAATTCGAAATAATAAAATTTAGGAAATAAATCCCAAAGAAACATACCATTTTTAATACAGAAAACCCTAATTACAGCCTGTTAAATGCAATGCAGATGGACAAGGCAGCTCTATTAGGGCAAGTGGTGCACCATGTAAGAGAGCAGAGCAAGAAAGCCAAAGAGGCCACCAGCAAGGTGTCTACGGTGCCGGCAGAGGCCGACGAGGTGATCATCGACGACCACCGCAACGTGGACGACCAAGAAAACATTTACATGAAGGCTTCCCTAAGCTGCGAAGACAGGCCGGAGCTGTTCTCGGAGCTCAACAGCGCGCTCAAGGGGTTAGAAATCGCCATTGTTGATGCACAGATCTTTACATTGGGAGGCAGGACAAGGATTAACTTTGTTCTTCGCGCAAACGGCGGTGACCACAAGGGCTCGCCGTTGCTTGTCAGGCAGTCGGTCAAGGTAGCGTTGAGCCGTGTGGTCATATCGGCCGGGGCCGCGTGTTATAGTGCAAGAAGCAAAAGGCAGAGGTTCTTCTACCCTAATAATAGTAATTGACATATATGATATGTATAAATATATATATATATATATACATACAAAGAATATGTATGTGGATGTTTGTTATGTTGCATAATTGGGAGGGATGTTTGTTGAGGATCATTGGTATAGAAAAGGGCTGAAATGGTTTCTTGGAAGGTATATATATATATATATATATGTGTGTGTGTGTGTGTGTGTTGTTAAATTTGGGGTAAGGTAGAATGTAGGTAGAGATCTTGTAGAAGTTGTAGAATATGATGATTTTATGTATTTGGCAATATTAGTGTATATATATATATATGGTAGTATGTTTCCTTTAATTTGTAATTTTGTTAGTTTTTGTTGGATTGTAAAGTCTCATAATAAGTCTAAAGCCTAGAGATATTTTGTTAGGATTTTGTTGGCATGAACCATACATATATATATATACATATATATTGGTTAGGATTATAAACTTATACATACATATATATATATATACATACCTTGTTTTTGTTTTTTTAATCACTTTTTAACATAATTTGTTTTTTCTAATGCCAAGATCGAATAAGCTATATTATCAGGAAATCAAATCGATATCGAACAAAATTTAAAACAACTTTTATTATTACGGAAACAAAATTGATTCAGACTCAGTTTATCCTCAAATCAACAAAATCGACACCGAACACACATCCAAGATCCAAGCCACAAATGACTTGTTATGGAATCGCAATTAACACACAAACCCGAACCCTAATCTAGGGAAACATAGCCGAAATTAAAGTCTAATACCATCGCAGACAAGATTATACCACGAACCAACAATAAGGCACAAACCGTAGAACCATCAAGGTTCGAGTCGCGCATTGACAAGGAAGAAGGACCTCCCAACTCGCCGGACAGATTCACCGGAGAACGCAGGCAGAGATCGATCGGAATGTGTTGGCGCTAGGGCTTGAGAGAGAATCGGGATGAATAGAGTGAAGGGTCGGTTCTGATTGTGTTCTGTTGGACCGGTCCAGGGATCAACAATATATATATATATAAATAGATCAGCAAACCGGTTCAGATCCAACTGAACTGATTTATCAAGGTAATCAGCAGTCTCACAGATACTGGGGTTGGGATGCGGGTTACATATCCGGGCTTCAATCTGGCGGATCAATTATGTACGTGTTAGGTCTTAATAATCACCGGCCAAAATGGATACCATATTCTTGGTTCTTACTTATGAAAATCTTGACTTGGCAACACAAAGAAATGTATGGATCAAACTAGATGATCAAATTATCTTAAACTTCATATTGTATTTTTATTTTTATTTTTTAAATTATACTCTTTCTAATGTTTTAGTAATCTTCGTATTCTCATTGTTAGATTCAATGGAGTCTACTACATAATTTAGAAGATGCAATTTGAGGATTACTTATTTGAGAAGGATTTTTGTACAAACTTTTGGACATAGATATATATGATCAATATATTAAAAAAGAAAAAAGAAACTAGCTTCAAAAAATCCAAAACTAATGAAAGGGTGACAAGTTTTACTTTTTGGGTACATCTCCGACACAAATTCCAACACTAGGAAAATTTGAAATTTAACTACAAAAAATTTATAACAAAAAAGTTTTTGCGACAAAATAAATTTCGTTGCTTATACTGTGTTGGTAAAAATCTTTGACGACAAATTTAACTTTCATAATGAAATATAGTTTTTTAAATGAAAGTTAAGAAAAATGATATTTCTATGAAAATATATTTTCGTAGGTAAAACTTTTTTGCTATAAAAATAAAATTAAAATTATGCATGATTTAATTAGCCAAATGATTTTAGCTATGAAAGATAATTTTGTAGCTAAGACTCTTGCGCTGTGAAAATATAATCTTCTAGCATAAATATTTTAGCGACGAAATTAATTTTGTAGTGCATAGAAAAAATGAAAAACTTCTCGAAAGTAGTTCAAATATTGAACAAATTTCTGAAGCCAAAATGAAAATTTATGATAGTGATCTTAGATTAAATTCGACAATTAATCCAATCTTATAAAAACATGATCAAAACCAAGTGAACAAGACCGCATAGCATAATAAGTCGACAATTAAATTTATTTTCGAGAGAGATCAATGGTAAAAATTCAGTGAATTAATAACCAATCAACATATCAATTAATTCTTGTCTTCTTCGATCTTCTTACTACAATTACTTAACAATACAAATCAAGTCAATCACAAATATAATTGCAAACACATCGTTCGCCAGGGCCGGCCGATGTGATGCACCGTCCAACTCCGGCATGATCTTTAATGCATCGCACATAGCAAGCATCTTCATTGCATTTGTTTCCGCGATATAGGATGGTGCATAGCCTCTTTGCGGGGATGGATTCTGCGCCTTCTGCTGCTGCAATGACTGTAAGAAAAAAAAAATTACGATGTTAGCGCGCAAATGGGAGGAAGACAAACAACATTAAGACAATAATCAAGATTCAAGAATAGATCGATATGATGTGTGCCTGTAAGGAGGAGGACGAGGAGCCCGATGATCTTCGACATGTTGGTTATTTTTTGTTTAGAAAACCCTAAATGATTGTTGAGATATAGATATACGATGATGATGATTGATTGAACTTTAGCTTTTGTGCCTAATATTTATAGGCAGTATTGAATCTCCAAAATGATTAATTGTTACAATTTATTTCTTTTTTAGTAAGTATCAATAATTGTGGTTTACAATTTTCCACTTTATTATTATTATTGTTATTAATTTATCCATCCTATAAGGCTATAACAATAAATATTATTTCTATTTTAGCATGTTCCATAACAAATAATACTCCCTCTGTCCCATAAATAAATATTTATTTGCTTTTTACACGTAGTTTTAGAAATATTAATATTATATTGGGATATAGTATAAATAAAATAGAAATAACTAAAATAATCTTATTAATATGTATGATATAAAAGTAATAAAATTTGTGTAATATATTGTAAATTGTAAGGGTATTTGTAATGTTAGGTAGACAGTACAGTTATAAAAAAAATGAAATGAATATTTTGTTATGGAACGGACTAAAATGAAAAAATTGATACTTTGTTATGGGATGGAGGGAGTATATTTTTATATGGAATAAAATTTACTATTTTAAATATACTTAACAAATCAATTTAATTAACTTTATAGCAGATAATATCATACATATGTCAAGTAAGACCATTCAAACCCTTTTATTTTTATTATTCTCTTCAATAAATAAATATTTTTATCTATATTTAATAATATTTCTCATCTTTTATAAAATTAGTTTATATTAATTATTAATAAATTAAATAAATATATTTTATTTATTTATTTATATTATGTAAAATTTTATTATCTATAAAATAATATTTATATTCTATATATTTTTATTGAAATATAATTTTTAAAATATTTAGGGGGTGTTTGGCAAATAGCTTTTTGAAGAGCTTTTAACTTATTGAACAGCTTTTAGCCGTTTGACCAATCAAAAAGCTAATTTAGGTGTTTGGTAAATTAGTTTTTGGAATAGCTTTTTGAACCCAAAAAGCTAATTTCTGCTAACTTATCCAGCGTTTTGAAATAGCTTTTTCTGTAAAAAAACAAAAAAAAAATAAATTATTCCTTATATGCCCTTAAAAATTTATTATGTATTTTACACAAATAAATATATTTTGATTATTTATTAATTATATTAGAATATTTTATTGTAATATAGTTTTACTTTTATAAATTTAAAATAATTAATTTTTATATAAAAATTATTTTAATTGTAAAATATATAAATTTATTAAAATCAACATAAAATAGAAAATATAAATATTAATAATTTATTTTTATATTAAAAATTACATTATATAAATTTTATACTAAAAATAAATTAAATAAATTAAATATATTGAAAATTATAAATATAATGAACTAATCGATAACTAACATAATAAATATATACACGAAAAATTTATTATTTTATATTTTACTAGAAAAAACTATTTATATATTTTAATAAAAATATATTATTTTTTAAAATCTAACTGTAATAAAAATAAATACTTTTATAACACTTTTACAATTTTTAATAACTAATAACAAAAATTTTTTAAACATTCTAAACTCAAAAAGAACATTTGAATATATTAGAAAAATATAAAATAGAAATGTCTTCAATTGTCATTTTACGTATAAACAGCTAATATCAAACAGTTATTTTACCAAACATTTTAATACAAACAGCTAATCGAATCAGCTAGTCAAACTAGCTAATTGAATCAGCTAACAACTATCAGTTAATTGAATCAGGTAACAGCTAACAGTTATCCACTAATTGTCAAACACGCCCTTAATATATATTCTAAATTTCATTTAATCATATATACTATTTTTTATATTAAAATTACTAACAATATTCCTTACATAAAAAATAATAAAATAATATTACTTTCGTCCGGCTCTAAGGCTCTCATTTACTTTTTCGTCTTGATCTTTGAATATTAATTATTATATCAAAATGTAGTAAAATTTTTATAAAAAAATGCAAATTTTTTTTCATTAGTGTCTTATGCTACTAATAATACGATGTTGTGCAAAAAAATTATAAAAATATAAAAATATTTTTTATGTTAAGTACGAAAAAAAATAAATGTGATGATAGAAGCGGATTGAGGCAGTATCATAAATACAATTTAAACATCACCACTTTAATATTGCATTCCTAATCAAAAGTATGTATTTATTATGGGATGGAGAGGCCATTATTATTGTTTTTCTATATTTGTTATGTTGGCTAATTTTGGTATGTCTTTTATATAAATATTTTTCAAAAAAAAAAAAGAAATACAGTAATATTATATATATATTATTTATATATTATCTGTACAATTCTATATAACTAAAATAAATATATATATTTTTTTCAAATCATTTCATAAAATAAACACACCCAAAATATTCAATCCGTTCATCAAATTTAGTTTTTATTTATTTTTTATTTTGTCAGTTAAATTTATTTTATTATTAATTTTGACAAAGTAAAAACGTGGATATTTTAACAATTATCTTTCATTAAATATTTATTTATCATAATTGTTACTATCTTTATTTTTTTTTTAATTACTAAGGG